ACCAAACCAAATTGCATACAGAGCGGGGTATACAATGTTATTTCAATTAAAATCAAAGTCATGTGATAATATAGTAGCTTTACAAAAAATAAATTCAGTTTAAAAAGGTATGTATTTATGTACGTTTATATTCCGTTGATTTATTCGTAGTACGCCTTAACAGTCCTGCGTAGTAAATCTTGTAATCCCTTTTCGCTTCTTTTAACTGACAAGTATATTGAAAGCTTAAGTAACGTGTCACAGCATAAAACGAGTAAAAGTTGCAACAGGATTGTGTAATACCTTTAGCTGATAGAAGCTCTCAACAATCATGGAAAAGATGATGTGCTTACGTACGCCTTACCAAACTTTATTCACAATCGAATTTGAATGCCTTGTAGCTATATTCATTGTGAATAATGTTAATTATTTCCAAAGATTTGGCATACGTAAAGAACACTACATACCAAGTTATTTTTCCTTAGACAGACCGATCGATCACATTTGACATTATTGCGGTGACGTCGTTTTGTTTGTGTTGTTGCCCGACTTTTCCCGCCAAAGTTCTATGAAATACTTATTGCGGATGTCAAAATAGTTCCTTGCAGTAGCAGGCAAAAAGCACTGAAGTTCTTACGATGAGCCACATAGTGCACCCAGCGACTTTACTATACCCAGAAGCCAAAGACCGTATTAATGTCTACCATTATCTAACCTTTGTCACTTGATCTTTATGAATGTGTAAAATTACACGGAGTTACTCAAATACATGAAAGATGCGTTAATTTCTTGAGGATTTTTCTCAGTAATGTAAACGGCCCAAAGCTTTATTAAATCCTGAGAACTTTGAAACACTTTGTCACGACACAATTGCCTCACTGGGTCGTTAGTTCGCAATGCTAATTCTAAGTTTATCTTTTATTTAAAAAAAATCGTTTAAGTTCTTCTGTTTTTGTAACCAACAGATGTTTGCTAATCTTGGAGTTCTTTGAGTTTACTTTTCTGCAAACTCCAATTTCTCTGACTAGATCATCCTAGCCACTTTGTAAAAACTCATCCAAGTCAATAGGTAATTTGCTCTTATAATTTTTTTAAGCTTTAAATGAGTAACATTTTAGAAAAACAATGTTTGATGAGTACGTGTTTTTTATAAATATACCACAAGAATCTTTCACAGCTGCTTGGAGAAACCTCTCCTGATAAAGTTTTGTGTCATAAAGAGAAAACATGGTAACTCAGTGTGAAAAACTCATGTCAGCTGACTCCTTGTTTCATCTAAGACGACCCCCAAAGGATTAGCGTGATTAGCGTCAGGAACTTCAATTCATAACTATACCCTTGTTTGGACATTAACTGCCGATCCATAAAATCTTGCACAGGAGGTTGGTGATTATTTAGTGAAGGGGCTCTTGTTGAGTTTGTATCGGTGACGGTATAGGGTTAAAGTTCTCAGGGTGCTTTTGGGCAAAAGATGGCGATCATGCAGAAAAGAAATTTTATTTAAAAGGTGTCTTAGTTTAGATATTTTAAAGTCGGTTATAAATGTTGCTTTGTATTTTTTTTATCGATGAAATAGTTTATTTTCCCGTTTATAATTCAATCTTGTTTTGAACAATGCATCATACTATGCGGCGGTATGCAGACTTATATAAAGCTTAATTAATTATATTTACCGGTATTTGAATCAGTGTATTGTCCACGAAGTCGTTCTATATTACTGAATATGTTTTGTCTTAAGATTGTGCAAATTAATATATAAAAGCTACATTATGATAACGAAAAAAGAAAAATCCGTCACTAGTTCCCAGTTCTCAGAGTATGCCACTTGGTTAATAAAATACTTGCTGGGTGCAGAACTATTGCTAACACATTTACCATGAAAGTTGAGGGAAAGTTTGGTTGATTCAAGCATACTCAACTTATAATACAAGAAACACATAACTCATCGCATAACAATGCTGTCTATATATTTGTACCTAGAACAGGCATTTTTTTATGCTACCAAGCTTGAGTTGTCTCCCCTAATTACATCCGGGACTTGAATTAATCAAGTCCATCTCTTGCTCAGAATGTCAGATGTCAGGGGAGATAAGTCCAAAGGTGACTAATACAATCTTATTAATTGCTATGGAACACATTTTCTGATAATCCACACGGCATTGCCAATAAATGACAAGAGCAAAGTTTTCACTTTGTAATTCGTCATGAACCATAGTTTCAGTACTTAGTTGCAGGGTGGTGTACACTGGTTACTCATAAAAACACATCGAAAGTTCTCACTTCAAACACTGAAGTGTGCTTCCAGATTTGCATTGAACATTACATGCTGTTTTTAGATAATGATGTAATTTATCTTAATTAAATTACACCCTCCCCTTCCCCCTTTTTAACTTTATGGTTTTACCTCACCTGAGCTGAAACCTCAAGTGAGCTTTTCTGGTCACCTCTTGCTAGGCTTCCGTCTGTCTGTCCTAAATTCTTTTAAAATCTTCTTTTCAAGAACCACGCACCAGAAAAAATGAAACTTGTGAGATAGCTTCCTGACATAGTGTAGATTCTAATTGTTCAAAGTATGCCCCCGGGGGTAGGATGGGGTCAAAATTGGGGATCAAAGTTGCACATTGGATTATATTGGAACAAATCTTATAAAATCTTTTCAAGAACAACTGACCAAGAAAAAAAACGATGAAACTTATATATGTGAAAGCTTTTCGACATATAATGTAGATTCTGAATTGGTCAAATAATGGCCCCGGGGTAAGCTGGGGCCACAATAGGGAATAAGTTTTACATTGCAAAGGTAGAACAAATCTGTAAAAATCACAAAGAACATATTTCCAAGTCGTGTGGAATCTGTTTTTTTTTTTCTTATTATTATTCAAATTATGGATCCTGAGTTATAGTTGCCGGGCTAAAATCGGGATCAAATGTTAGCCCGCGGTAATGCATGAATGGTCTTCCTGTAACTACAAGGCCATGTTAACTAGTCTTATTGATATTGTTTAGCATCCCCATATTTTGTGGATTCAGAGATCCCTCAGAGTTGGGATGAGGCCATAATATGAGTCCCCAATTTTTCATTGGATAAAATCTTTTTAAAAATATTTTAAAACAAAAGCAGGACTGAGTAAAGGAAAGTTAATCAGGTAAGCGTTGTGGCCCAAGGTCCACTTGATTAAAGCTTGGAAAAATAAAATAATATCTTTAAAAAAAATTATTTATACTTGTGTCTGTATATGCCGCAAAATATAATGACAGCACTAATTTTAGAATTATTTAATTAAAGCTTCAAGGCTAATGATATTTTTTAAATCTGCAATCAGATGGTATAAATTTTGGAATACATGTATTTAAAGATGATATTCATAGCCATGAATACAGTTTTAAAAATTTTGAGTGCATGAACTTAATCAGTCATTCTACAAAAATATGACCAATTAAGAATGTTTTATGTCGCTTACAAATTTACCGTTGTAAATTATTTAAACTATAAATTTAAGGATCGATTTCAACTCTAAGACTTAACATACAAACATGATTTTGTAAATATTTACCGATATATATGCAGTTACAGTTTTGATATGAACATAATGTAAAGTTGAATTTAAACGTATTCCACTACAAATCAATGTCGCTTCATTTATTTACAAATTTCAAGATGAAATTTTCAGCCGTAAAAGCGTTCCAAATAGATTGTAATGAATGTTAAAAAAGTTTTTATCCTATATAAAAAGAAATCAAACCAATTCTTGCAACGAAATGCATGGATCTTCTTTCATGCGCAATTATAGCATGTCGCTAAAAATCGATTAACTTCCGTAACGAGTTTGTTTTAAATTTCACGCACAGAATGCAGATTTCAAAAAGAGCTGAAACTTATCTGAAAGTGACCAAAGAACCTAATATCATCGATTCTAGTTGCGATCGAGTCAGCTATTTTAGACGATTATATTTTCGACATAACAAAATGAATTAGACAAAAACAGTTGTCTCTCTTAAAAATTTAACTTTCGTAACGGTAATTCAGGAAAGTTTTTGCATTAAAGGTATAAAGATTTTGATTATTTTGTGAGCGAAATGCTTCATACTTTTGTTTAATATCCTAAAACAAACTTTAATTTTAACTATTGCCGAGAATTTTAACTTTTATTGCTGGGATTTAACTTCCGTAACGATATTTTTCCCGAAATTTTAACTTAATTAAATAAATGTCAGATTCATATGCGAGACTTCATGAATCATACTCTATAGGGTTCTATACTGAACACCAAAAACGAAAAATTGGTCAAATTCAGTAATATTTAAAAAATAATAAAACTTGTTCTTCAAGCATTAACTTCCGTAACATTACCTTAAAATCAATGGTAATATATATTAATTAAAATTGTTGTAAAAAGATAACGATACCAGATTTGTGGACATTTTTTTTTTCAAGTTCGCTGATTTGTACTTTAGAGAATTATGATGTTCATTTTGTTATTTGAAACAATTTTTTTTTCAGGCCCGTAGGAAGCAATTTCAGTTTGGGGGAGGGGGATAGCCAACCATTTTCAGTTGGGGGGGGTGGGGGGTGGGGCACTATCAACTACCAAAATTCCTTGACAAGCCAAAAAAAAAAAAAAAGGGTCATTGATCAGCATATAATAGCTAAGTTTTCTATAGTATTCTATATATTGGCAAAATTATTGGGGGGTTGGCACACCCCCCCCCCCGTGCCCTCCCCCCGGTTCCTGTGGCCATGTTTTTTTTCCCATCTTTTATACCCTGAATATGGTCCATTTATCGTATCTAATGACTGAATAATGCAAACCTGGAAGGTCACGTGACAGAAATTCCTTGGCTGTTCTAATAAAATTTCCAATTGCAATTAATTTATTAATAATTTTTTGTACCAGATACTTATTGCATTAATTTTTTTTGGGGAAACAAGAGTCAAACAGTTTGTTATATTTTTTGTTGCCACATATATTTTTAGTTTTTGCAAAACGGTGGTGAAATAAATAAAGAACAAAATTACGTAGGGTGTACAATAGAACAGCGGAAGTTGTGATTCAGATTGTTGTCACTAAATTGGAATTTCTTCTGTCGAGTTTTGTGAATAAACTACTACAAGTATAGATATCTGGTAAGAATTTCTAATGAATATGAAACTGCAGATAGAATTCTGTTAAATTCTAAGTTGCGCTTGCACAGCATGTATTCTTAACGGCATATTTAATGAAATATTATGTTGATGAACAGTATGATGTATCCACTGTAAAACACTGTCAGACTGTGTAGTGTATGTTTTTGTATACATCGGGCCGTGTTTAATTATTAACACATAACGTATAGCTAATCAAGTGAAAAAAGTACACAATGTATACTCTAAATCAAGATCAAAATATACTTTTATGATGCCGTAGACAGTAGAGGTGGGGTGCATGTTGATTGAAATGTTTAATATCACTTTATGGTTAGCATTTTCTGTTTAACTAACAGATCTGAAATATTGCATGCATGTTCAGGTAAGTATTTTATGATCATGGTTCTCACACTTCTTAAATTATGTTCATTTCAATTGATTTTGATTTATATATTCATTTTATCAACCACCTTTTTTCCTCCCTTAGTCATAGTGTGCAATGAGTGTTGGTTCCCCTGCAGTGGGGTCCCTGCAATTGAAATGGGACCCCAAAAATCTGGAGATCCGGACCATGTCTGTGGAGAAGACCCTAGAACCCTTGGTTACACAGGTATAAGTAACATTTATAATATTTGCAGTGCTATCAATTATTATTATCAAAGTTTATAGAGGTATAGTTGACTATTTGTTGATATTCTGACATCAAATATCTAATTAAGCCATTAGATATAATATATCTAACACATAACGTGTTTATATCATATTATGTATTATAGATGCTTCTTGTGTGCCTTACATTAGTTACAATAGTTTAGGATTTTAATCAGTTTTATAAATGAGTGTATTCAGGACTCTGACAATCTTCAATAGATAGTTTTCAGTAGACCTAAATTTGCAAGAGTTAATTCCCATTGGCCACCATATTGGAGGTCAACATCCCCATATTCCCTCATTATTCAACCAACTTTAACTTTTTATACTGGCCATTGTGGAGTAGGAAGCATCGTTTTTCTGAAAAAATATACATTGGTTAAAGCCTCCTTTATTTCATAGTTTTTATTCTATAAAGGTTTTTCCCCAAATATTTCTGCTACATCCTCTTAAATTTGGTAAGACGAAGAGGAAAAATTACCAGGTTGACCACCAAGATGGCGGCCAAGGGAAATAACTCAGAGAAAATACGTCATATGAAAACTATCTATTGGGTACGCCATACCTAATGCAGAATAGGTACCTTTTTTCCCAATTAAGTGATGACTTCTTATGTTCCCAATTATCATTACTGTAACAAATGATAAATATGGTATCAGGATACCAGAATTGCAGAAAACAAAATGTTGTAAGATTTTGAATATTTGGGTTTAATTCATTGATTTTCCCCAGATTTCCTGAAACATCCCTTATTTTCTCTAAGTAAACTGCCCTTTCCCCTTTATTAAAAAGTGGTATGAGAGCTCTGCTGTTTTATCGATTTGAAAGAATTTTATGTTCAGAACTACATATTAATACATTCATTAGTTTTTATGTTTATAATCCAGGAATATCCAGCTTTGATAAAAACTTTATTCTTTTTAAAGGTAACAACACTAGTTAATCAAAAAAGTCCATCAAATAAAAAGAAAGGGAGGTCCAAGAAGGCACATGTATTAAGTGCTGCAGTACAGAAAGCTACAGAGAATTTCATTGCTAGAGGAGAAGAAATCGCCAATGAAAACCCAGACATCAGGCCCGATATGATGGCAGCTGTTGATGAAGTCAGGAAAACTGGTAAGTACAATATGACTTTAAACAGTTTATTAGGAATTGACAGTAGATATGCTTGTCAATTGTAAAGTCAGAGATGTTTTACCTACCATCATTAAAAATGGTCATTTTGTGCATATGCAATAATTGAAGTACATGTAAAAGTTGCATGCATAATAACTCATATTTAAACCAGGTTAATATAAATGACCTATTAGTCATTATGAGGTGTATCATTGTGTATAGTTTAAAATCAAGCTTGCCTATTATAGAATAATTTTTTAGAAAATTGTATGCCCCCACAATCATGAATAAAGATGTTTTTGCAAGTCATCCTTTCACCTAATTTAAAAAAAAAAAGACTTGCTCTTTAAAACAACTTCAGTTAGTCCTCAGCCATCCATTTATATCATTATTTGTATTGTAGGGGAGGTAATGAGGGATGCCTCTACAGAGTTTGCTGCTGAGCCGTGTTCATTGTCTAAGCGTGGGGCTATGGTACGGGCCGCTAGAGCTCTCCTGTCTGCCGTCACGAGGCTTCTGATCTTAGCTGATATGGTGGATGTTCATCTCTTGCTGAAATCTCTAAGAATGGTAAGTAAACTAGGCTTAGACTAAAGTTCTGTCAGCACATGTATTGTTTCATATTTTCACATACAGAACTTCAGCAAAGTCTTATGTATGTGGTATTCCTTTTTCATGATGATAAAGAAAATTTAGAATGTAATAAAGACTTTTTTTTAAAGTGTTATATATAAAAATGAAATTTATAAAGTGCATTTGAAACATGAAGATAAAGAAATTTTCTTCGCAATTTATGTCTTGTTGCAGTAGTATTATTAATATTACATGTATTATCATAAAACAGAGAATTTAAATGTTTATTGTTAAATTTTAACAGGTCGAGGGTGACTTAGACAGAGTAAGGAATGCTACAAGTCAACAAGAACTGATGTCAAGCTTCAAAGATCTGGGAGAGAGCTTAGTTGATCTAGCTCAACGAGCTGCCCAAAGACAGAATGTATGTGACAGTCTACGTATATCCACATAGCTCTCAAATAGAACAATAGAGATTGATATTTATTATACTCCCAACATGAAAAGTCGTCTGTCTGTAACACTTGGGCATGTTTGGAATGCAATCCCTTATCTGCAACTCCTCTTACATCACTGTATGTAATTATATGAAACTTTCACATAATCCTTATTACACAGTCAGTGGCATTGTGAATCTCCTATTCTATATTTCAATCGTACACGTATTTGGGGTTCCCCATAACAAAATAAGGACATTGCCATTCTTTCTATAATATTGGGGGTACCCTATCTTATTTACAACTCCTCCAATACCACTGATTAAAATTAAGTGAGACTTCAACAATTACATAGTGCAATTGTGCACCTATTTTACGTTTCGATTGGGGTTTCCCATAGCAAAACATGGACTTTGCCATTCTTGGAAAATGTGGGGGTAGCAGTCACTTACCTGTAACTCATCTTACACCACTGAATGTAATTTAATCAAATTTTCACAGAATCTGTATTAGATAGTGTCTTTTTGACTTCCTATTTTTCATTTTGATATTTGGGGTTTCCCACAGCTAAACATGGACTTTGCCATTACACTCGATAAAGGGGTATCCATTTTGTTAATGCAGCTCCTAAACCCTTTGATGAAATCCATTGGAACTTTCTTGAAAATAAGAAACTTTTGATGTCAAGGCAAGAAAACTTTCTTGCATTTCAAAGCAGCAACACAAATTGCTATGAGTGCATTTAGTTGTTTCAAAAAGCGAATCTATTATGTACAGTATATTATTATACACAGTTAAAAGCCATACTAATTATATGTAATTATGTATGCACAATTTACCCCTGTTACTTGTAGATAAAGAAGAAGGTATGGTTTCAATACAAATCTGGCCCTGTATTTTTTGTACTATAATAAGAAAATTTGAGAAAATAAAACTCTTGCTTTAATTGTTCAAACTCCATGCAGTAAGATCATACAAATCATTTTTCTAATATGACCATCTAAATGGCCACTGTGAAGTCATGAACTTCTGCATTTTCTCGTATTTTCTTAGAAAGTTTGCAGAGGACATCAATTGTCAGTGGAATTTTCATTCAGACAATATAGACCGCATGCAGCACCCACAAAAATTAAGAAATGTGATTTCTCAAAGATTTCTACACAACATATCCAAAAATTGAAGTGGGTGATGGCTGTGGACACTGTTTTCTTAAGGAAATTCTTTCATGACTTATCAAATTCATATATTCAACTTTTATTTAAGCAAATTTCAAAATTTTATGAAAAGAACACATTTACAGGGCATTATCAAGCCAAAACCAGGCCTTCCCCTTCATTAAGAAAATAATTGCAACCCCTTTCTTCAATATGAAGGGGTATTATGCATTTTTTATCACCCTTAGGTGTTTTATTAACATAACTGATTACCCAGAAAACTTGCTAGTTTCTCAGAGCACTAGATAAAGCTTTCTCTTTTTTTGGCATTTTGTTAAGTGCATTGTTATGCAACATTACATAGAGGAAAGCATTCCCATGCTAGGTTAAGCATTTAAGAAAATGATTATCATATGCTGTCTTCATTAACAAGAAATATAAACATAAGGTGACCTTTAAATGTGGCAGTATTACAGTATTAAACCACCCAGTAGGTGTTTTCATTAGATGATTTCCAGATATTTACAGGTGTGTTCAATCACTAATCGTGTTAATTTTTTATTCTTTCAGGATCTTAAGGACCCAAGGAGGCGTGATGATTTGGCTGCTGCCAGGGCTGTCCTCAAGAAGAATAGTATGATGTTGTTGACGACTTCAAAGGTAGCCAATAATGAGCGACTATTGTAGGAAAATGTGTAGAGAGAGTACTTTATGGGTGGATAGAGTGCTCGTAAATAGAACTGACAGATATGTTGCATGTGTAATTGATTGGAGGAAATGTAGGAGTTCATTCACAGGAATTTCCATTAAGAAATTCTGATGTTTGTTGATGGAGTAAGAAGCTGACAGAAATATATCTAGATCATTCATGAAAAAGACATAAGGTGCTTTATATCTGTATGGATTATGTAGGAGTTTATTCACACATAAATGATAATTAATTAAGAAATGTACTTCAAGGTGTATAATTTTATGTACCCCACTGCACTATTGAATGGCATTTGTGTAGGTTCATTCAACAATGCTGTTTTTATTTCAGGCTTATGTGAGGCACCCAGAACTTGCACCAGCCAAATCAAACCGAGACTATGCCTACCAACAGCTTGTAGATGCTGTCAACACAATATCTGGTGTAGCCCAGGCCTCAGGAGCCTCTGATGCTCACCCGTATGAGGGGGCTGGTGAACTGGCCTCAGCTTTGGATGAATTAATGGTAATGATATGTCTAAAAGAAATGGGTTTTTTTTAGGTTTTATTATGATTTTGTGTCAGTTATGCATATTTTTTGTTGTTCCACTAAGGAGTCGGAGATTAGGTTGAAATCTCTGTCTTTGTGAATGCTATCTATTTGACTGTTGTAAATGTTAATTACTGTTGAGTGGAAACTACTGTATAGGGGGAAAATAACTCGTGGTGTTAATATTCGCTATATTCACGGTGTTAATAAATCCGTGAATTCAAGAAACAGTGAATAAGTTTTCAATAACCTCCATGCTGTATTTGGATATTTAAGAATAGACTACGGTACGTGTAGTACATGGTTATTTCAGTAATTACGAGTCGCACTTGTCATTCAATAATTTTAATTATCACGCTTTACTTTAATTAAGATCATCAGATAATAACCTGTATTTGTTAAAAAGCTGTTTTAATAGCTAACGCTACATGTTTCATCAAATCAAAACACATGGGTCATGGGTTTTGATTACCCGCGCGTAACTATGTTTCCACGAGTATTTGTTACCTACACTATCATACGTATTAGTTTTTATCGACATTTTAGTTTTAAAAAATCATTCAAATAATATCGAACTTGCTGAAGATGTGGAAGGATATTATTTCGTCGACCTACATTAACAATTTCTTACCGTCTAGCAGCTGTTCAGTGGTTTTTTGCCGCGATGTATTATCCCTTCGGAAAGAAGATCTTGGGGTGTCGTAATAGTCACTCGACGTTTATAGTCAAGGACTTTTTATAACTAATTAATTATTCTAACTATTTTATATAAACATACCCTGTGAAGTGAATACATAACGCTGATTATGTCGTTCTAGCTATGCTATGGATTAAACGGATATAGACAAGGGAGGTAACTTTATTATATACAAGTACCGATTCCACGAATTCAACAAACCGCAAGAAAAACGTGAAAATTACAACCCGTGAAATTAATCCCCTATACAGTATATGCAGTTACAGTAAAATCTGTCTAATCCAACACCTGTGCAATTTGTTTCTTCGTGAATTATAATCTTTATTTTCGTTCCCCTTTTACAATTTTCTCTGTTCTTTACACTGAAATGTGATATCCTGTCTATTCTGACACAAAATTTATGTCTGAATGCAGACAGGTTTCACTGTACATGTATCTATTAAGCAAGATTTTTTTTTAAGAATACGTGTCATCATCCCTTCTGACCAGATGGTGAGAAATCCCTTTGGAAGTTTGCTCATTGCCATGATTATCTTGAATTATTCTTTTATTAGACATAAGATATTATAGAAAAAGATAATCATGTATTTGTAGCAAAAAATAATCATGGATCCCTTGACATATAATGAAGTGAGGACCAGGCCTTCATTAGAGGAGCGTCTGGAGAGCATCATCAGTGGAGCCGCTCTGATGGCTGACTCCTCGTGTACTCGGGATGATCGCAGGGAGAGGATCGTACAGGAGTGTAATGCTGTCAGACAGGCTTTACAAGATCTATTAACAGAGTACATGAACAATGTAAGTATTATATAGTTGTCATACTGGGATAAAAGATCAATTCCATGTGGTAGTTTTTAGTGAAAACTTTGTTTTAAATCTTGTGCACTAAAAGCTATCTGCATAATTTCTAAAGCTGATTTACATGTATATTGTACAATTATTCACCCTCGTGTGGAAACCAATGTAAAGAAGCAAAAAAAAAAAAATTACAAATTTTTTCATGAGAATAAGGAAAAATTGTTTAAAATATTCCTTGAGGCATCACAAATTAGATACAGGATTAGCTAATATAAGCATTATAAACTAAAACTTGAATACTTTTACTAAATGAATTCAGTGCAGGAAGCCACATTCAAGTAATTTCAAGGTACAGGTAACAGTGGAATGTTTTTTATCTTTTCTTCTCTAGGAAATTTCAATAGATTGTATTTATAATTGTATTGCCCATTTCCATATTGTACACAAGTTATTATGAATAACATTCATGTAGTTTTCTTGTCAACTTTTGCCTTAGAATTCAATTAACAAACTTGCTGTTAAAAAGAGAGAGCATACAGTGTAATTGCCTGAATTTTGTATTGAGTTATTTAGAAATTAATTTAACAATCTACTTGTATCTGGAATGTTTTTATTTGAAAATTCAGCTGTATTAAAATTTTGAATGTTTATTCTATAAATACATGTATAGTTAGACGTGAAATTGTCACTGCTTTAAATTGAATGAAATTGTTAAGCATGTGCCTTTATATGATGAAGATCATAGTTCTGTTAATACCTGTGTTTTTTTTTCCTTTATTCAGAATTGTTTTAATGAGTAGATAAGTTAAGGAAATCTAAAAAAAAATTAAACAACAACATGGTTAAAAGCCTGTCTTCCTTCTCAGTATTCAGAGAAATAATTCAAAATATTTATTTAGCCATATTGCATGTGCATGTCATGAAATTAAATTCAGAATTGAAGTGTAATTTATATACTTGACCTTCAGAGGAAAAATCTTTGCTAGAACATCCTATTTATATTACATGACTGTATTTATCAATCCACAGCTTTTTCAGGTCAAGAGTGTTTGTATTTTAATTTCATTGCTGAATCTTTAATGGAAATTAATGAAATTACAAAGTTTTGGAGAAAGAAAATGATTTTCCTAGAAATTGGTACTTTGCAGGAATTATACAGATATAAAGTAATAAAAATGAAGTTGTTTGCAAAATGTGTAAATCTTAGATAGATTTGACTTTTTTATTTACAGTCTGGAAGAAGTGAAAGAAGTGAAGATCTACAAAGAGCAATAGATAACATGGAACGTAAGACAAAGGACCTCAAAAGACAGGTATAAATACTTAGAGATGACAAGCAGTATATATAAAACACAGCAGTCTAAGAACTGTTTCTTGTCATGTATCAGAAGGAGTAGACATGTATCAAATGTGACAAAATCAGATTTTCTTGAATATTTTTTAGTTTTTGATACTTGCATTTGGATCAATTACTTTCAGGGGCATATATTTTATATACTATAAGTGTCGGGGTTTTTACGAGGGGTGTCAATTTTCCTTATGTTTGATATCATACCCACTAAAGTTTTCAATATTTATAGGAATATTTGTAATATTTTATTTATTAAAGCTGAGAAAAGCAGTGGTGGATCATGTTTCTGATTCCTTCCTGGAGACCAATGTGCCCCTCCTTGTTCTGATAGAGGCTGCCAAGGCTGGGGATGAGAAGGGGGTGGAAGAGTATGCCCAGGTTTTTGCTGACCATGCCAACAAACTTGTGGAGGTATGCAACCTGTGTTCAGTTGTCAATATTTGCTCTGTGTATGTTATTGGTTCAGAGAGAAGATTTATGTCAAATACTTATAAGATCAACAAGTGGTATGTACAAGTATTTTAAAAAAAAAAAAACTTTTAACTACAAAATTCATCATTTGGAGTAAAATTTCAAAATAAAGTAGCTGTATTAAGTGGTTTGTTTTAACAGTCTGGTTCTAATTCATATATCTGACCTCTGTACATAAATAGGTAGCAAACTTAGCATGTTCCATGTCCAGCAATGCAGAAGGTGTCAAAATGGTCAGAATGACTGCAGCTGAACTGGAAAGCCTCTGTCCACAGGTTAGTTGAGAATGGTTAATTTTTCAAAACATGAAAATTCAAGTACAGTTGAACTTTGGTATCTTGAACATCGATATCTTGAATATCAGGGATATTTGTAAGTCAGTCGAAAGTCCCAACTCCTTTTCTCTATGTATTTAACCCTCAGTATCGAGAGCCCTTGGATGTTTCAAAGCTTTTACTCATTCACATTATGTTTGAGATAACAAGGTTTTATTGTACCTGTATAACATGAATAATTATTTTAAAGATAAAAGTGAGATGGATTATAGCCACAGTGTGAAACTGCATTGGTATAGATATACTGAAATTGTCTGACAAATTTAATATTTACATGCACATAAAACTGAATTATGAATTCTTTAGGTAATCAATGCAGCTCGAATTCTTGCCAGTCGTCCCAGGTCTAAGGTCGCTCAAGAAAACATGGATGTCTTTAAGGATGCCTGGGAGAGAGAAGTACGAATCCTGACAGATGCTGTAGATGATATTACCACCATTCATGATTTCTTGGCTGTTTCTGGTAAGAGGAACTTCTTAAAAATGAAACAAATGAAACATGTATGAATGTATTGAATGATAAATTTTGTTCGAAGCTAAATGAAAATATTATGGGCATCCTTAGATGGATGCTTGAATGATTTTCTCTTACACATATTTGAAATACTTAAATAAAACTAAAATATGTACATGTATATATTTAGTAGGGTCGTATATGAACCTCTCTTATGGTTTTTTAGGTCACCTGAGTCACTGAGGTGACCTATTGCTATCTCTTTTTGTCCGTCGTTGTGCGTCGTCCGTCGGTCGTAAACTTTTGAACATTTTCAGCTTCTTCTCTAGAACCAGCAAACCAATTTCAACCAATTTTGGCATATAGCATCTATGGGTGAAGGGGAACAAAAATTGTGAAATTCGTGGCCCCTGCCCCCCCTGGGGCCTGAGGGGTAGGGCCAAAACCATCAAAATTAATGCAATCTTTAAAAATCTTCTTTACTCCTGGACATCAAGCAGTCAAACTGTTGGAATGATTGTAATAAGCATTGAGCCCTTTACCAATTGTGAAATTGTGAAATTCATAGCCTCAGGGTCAGGCGTTCTGGTGCTAGGGCGGGGCTATATAGATCATATAGTGAAAGTGCATTATTTCTTTGAAAATCTTCTTCTCTACTCCTGGGTTTTATTGAAACAAATTGAATACATAGTTATGATAAGAAAGGGTGACTCTACCAAAATTATGAAATTCATGGCCCCAGGGTCAGGGGTTCTGGTGCTAGGGCGGGGCTATATAGATCATGTAGTGAAAGTGCATTATTTCTTAAAAAATCTTCTTCTCTACTCCTGTGTATTATTGAAACAAATTGAATACATAGTTATGTTAAACAAGGGTGACTCTACCAAAATTGTGAAATTCATAGCCCCAGGGTCAGGGGTTCTGATGCTAGGGCGGGGCTATATAGATCATACAGTGAAAGTGTATTATTTCTTTGAAAATCTTCTTCTCTACTACTGGGTATTATTTAAACAAATTAAATAGATAGTTATGATAAGCAAGAGTGACTGTACAAAAATTGTGAAATTCATAGCCCCAGGGTCAGGGGTTCTGGTGCTAGGGTGGGACTATATAGATCATATAGTGAAAGTGCATTATTTCTTTGAAAATCTTCTTCTCTACTCCTGGGTATTATTTAAACAAATTAAATACATAGTTATGATAAGAAAGAGTGACTCTACCAAAATTGTGAAATTCATGGCCCCAGGGTCAGGGGTTCTGGTGCTAGGGCAGGGCTATATAGATCATATATTGAAAGTGCATTATTTCGTTGAAAATCTTCTTCTCTACTCCTGTGTATTATTTAAACAAATTAAATACATAGCTATGATAAGCAAGGGTGACTCTACGGAAATTGTGAAATTCACAGCCCCAGGGTCAGGGGTTCTGGTGCTAGGGCGGGGCTATATAGATCATAAAATGAAAGTGCATTATTTCTTTGAAAATCTTCTCTTCTCCTGGGTATTATTTAAACAAATACATGGTTATGATAAGCAAGGATGCCTCTTCCAAAATTGTGAATTTCATGACCCCTTGATCAGAGGTTCTGATATTAGGGCGGGTTCTATTTATTATATAGTGAAAATGCATTAATGCTTTAAAAATATTCTCTGCACCTGGGCATATCAGAGGCAAAAAGAGTAAAAGTTTTAATAAGGAAGGGTATTTTTACCAGATTTTTGAACATCAGAACCATTTGATCAAGTGTTCTGGTCCAGGCCAGGGCTCTATTAATTTGTATTCTACTGAAAGGAATTATTCCCCTTTGCCATTTACTGGTGATAATTAATCCTTGTAAATAATGTACTTGAAAGGTTAATAGAATAAGAGAATTATGCAAGAATTTTAAATTTCTTGTATGATACAAAAAGTTCTTTCATAGTTTTAATGATCAGGTAGACTTGTAAGTAACCGATAAATAAAAATGAGACAAAAATAACTTGTCTTATTTAATGCTCATCAAAGACCAAGAGAGGCCAATGTAAGAGATTTCAACAAGGAATTAAAAGAGTACAGAAGCACTGATTATAAGTTTGTTTATATACTGTCTGGTGAGATTGATAAATGGGGAACAGATTAGAACCTAATTTATGTACTGTTAATGAACACTAGACTAATTATTTTGTTGATCCTGATCACCCTATTTTTCTTGCTTTTGGGCAACAAAGCTTCACCTTTCAGTTCATTTTATACTCTATGGATCCTCTAAATTGTTGTATTATACTCAGGCGACCGTTAAGGCCCTTGGGCCTCTTGTTGTGAAAAGAAAGTGTTTGGATAATAAATTTGCACACTTGTACAGTTTATTCCTGTATTTTTCAGAGAGTCATATCCTAGAGGATGTCAACAAATGTGTGGTAGCTCTTCAAGAGGGAGATGCAGACACGCTTGATCGAACTGCTGGGGCCATTAGAGGGAGATCATCTCGTGTGTGTAATGTGGTCACAGCTGAGATGGAAAATTATGAGGCAGGGGCATATGTTGATAGAGTAATGGAAACAGTACTGATGCTTAGGGACCAAGGTAATTACTGATTTGAAAGAAAAGAAAAATGTAATGTCTGCTTTAGTGCTAATCAATATTTAAACCATCCAAGTTCAACCTGTCAGTACCTTCTATCATATGATACATGATGAGATGATATAGGAAAAGCAAAGCTTCTGTTATTTTAGAATATATTCAGTATGATTTTGTTCAAAATTTAAAAAAAAAAAATTTTTTTTTCATGAAAACAGTATAAAATGATTAACTCAGAATGAAACATTTTAAGTTTTGCTGTATAATATTTTTTCATGTCCCTCGTTTCAGTTATGCCTAACTTTGCTGAAAAGGTGGAAATAGCTGTGGATGCCCTGAGTTACAACCCTCCGCGAGAAGTGGACGAGAACGAGTTTATTGATGCCAGCAGACTTGTGTATGATGGCGTGAGGGATATCAGACAGGCTGTGCTGCTAGACAGGGTAAGTTACAGACATCTTAACATAGGGCATTTGTCACAAAAACAGAAGTAGTAATTTGTTTTGTACATGTATTTCTTATGTATTTGATGTTGAAGCAAAATCCAGCCTTCTGAATCTTAGCAGAAAAATAATAATTGCTTCCTGTTTGTTTAATCAATATATAAGCCGGAAACTATAATGGTCATTTCAGTATGTAAATCAAATAAAAATACATGTAACTGAAAGGATAGATAAAGCTGTTTTAATGAAGAGTTTATACATTTAAGCAAATGTTTAATTTTAGACTGAAGTAGAAACAGATTCAGAGGTGGAAGAAGATCCATATGAAACAAGAAGTAAATGTAAGTTATATGATTGTCATATTTTGATTCAGAATGATTGATTCATGTATTTAAGATGGTATACATGGCAAAATCAACAGTTTATGTACTAAATGTGTTTTCTAATGCAGCTTCAAGATCCAAAGGTGATTTTTCTGGTCAAGCATCTTTTTGATTGTTTATTTATTTTTTTTACTGTAGAGCATAAATTTGATGAATTATTTGTTGTATTGAACTTGTAAAGAATGTGTATGCAATAAGTGTGTCTTCAAAACTGAATTCTTTTGAGTTCAATAGAAAGGTGAATGCCATGTTTAAACTATTGTTACAAGTGCATGGTTTGACTACACCAGTTTTGTTATGAAAATTCAGTATTCAGTCAACATTGATAAAAGATGAATACATTTTCTACTAACTTAGTAGTTAGCATGAGACAAAAAGTATTTGATTATTTTGATGTCTACTCTAACAAAATCACAAGAATTTGCAAAATGTTACTGTTTACCCGAATTGATTTTTTGGCAGTAATGTGATTTTGAAACTTGGTAAAATTGGAGTTAATTTTTGTGTTACACTATAGCTAGTTACATGACTGGGATGGACGATGACCATGGTAAGAGTGACAGAGCCATGATGAGACAGCTGCCTGCAGAGGAACGCGAGAAGATTCAGGAGCATGTGCAAGAATTCTTGGCAGACAAAATGAAACTAGACCGTGAAGTGGCCAAGTGGGACGACAGCGGGAATGACATCATCGTCATGGCTAAACAGATGTGTATGATCATGATGGAGATGACAGATTTTACAAGGTAGGAATCTGTTTTTGACAGATTTTAATAGGTCAGAATCTGTTTTTGACAGATTTTAATTGGTCAGAATCTGTTTTTGACAGATTTTACAAGGCAGGAATCTGTTTTTTAAATGAGGTGTAGAAGTGAAAATATCTGCAAGATACAAATACACTGTAAAATCACATATTGGGGTCAAATTTTCATGGTTTGAGAGAAAAATACGGATTCAAGGGGAATCAATTTCTTGGATAAAGAATTGTTGAGTAGTAACATATGTGAGCAATTACATTTTGTGGTGGACATGAATTCATGGGGCCTTTTCATACCTTGAAAACAACGAAAATTAAACCACTGCAAAAATTAGTGATTTCACACTACACATGTATAGTGTATTTACATAAAATAAATTTTATGGTATGTTGTTTAACTTTTATTCCTAATTATTTTTTGTGTTTGAAGGTTGACTTAAAAGTTTTATAAATTTTCTCCAAAGTTTTTAACAAAACACATTTATACAATCTACATTGTGTTAGGAGTAGGTTTTAATCTGTTCGGGTAAAATTTTGCAGAGGTAGAGGTCCACTGAAGAGCACAATGGATGTCATCAATGCTGCCAAGAAAATCTCTGAGGCTGGTATCAGATTGGACAAACTAGCTAAACAAATTGCTGATCAGGTAGAGTGCTGTCCTTCCTACTGGTAATCTTCAAAATCATCTACACAGTGGAATAAACATTATTGTATACTAAAGCTACAAAAGGGTAGCATTTTACATAAGGATTTCTTGATATTGTTTTCAGAAATATTATTGATACTGTTGTTTTGATATTGGTATCTTTTTTTGATAATCATAAATACTGTATGAAGTCATTAAATTGTAAAAACATTTATTCTTCAATGCTGAATGCATCACATTTCCATGTTTTTTGAATGCAAAATTTAATGATTTGCATTTCATAGAATGCCAGAAGAGCCAGATGGAGTAATATTGCCATTTTCCAAGAGTCAATCTTTAGTGATTTTGTAATTTTCTTGCTAACCCAGTTTATTTTTTCAGTGCCCAGACTCTGCATCAAAGAAAGATTTGTTAGCTTATCTACAGCGAATCGCTTTGTATTGCCAACAGTTAAATATCACCAGTAAGGTCAAGGCCGATGTTCAGAACGTCAGTGGGGAATTAATTGTGTCAGGGGTAAGGCTAATCAATGGATAGTGTTATCAAGATAGATTCATTCATGCATGACCATTTTCACTTTCTAGTGTCCAGACTCTGCCTCAAAGAAAGATCTGGTCGCATACCTACAAAGAATCGCCCTCTATTGCCAGCAATTAAACATTACAAGTAAAGTCAAGAATGACATTACTAGCGTCAGTGGACAGGCTATTGTGGTGACTGGGGTAAGGCTGTTTACTCCACAGGAGTCTCCTGGTTCTGAGGCTTTCCAGCTCATAGCCAAAAAACAGCCAATGTATTGCACTGTGCTTCAAGTCATGACATTTCCTCTCATACCTCTGAACCTGCTGGCTGCTAATCAATTGTATACACTATGTAAAAGATATATATGAATCGAAATCTAAAATGATTAAAAATATTTACAGTTGAGGTCTAGAAAAGATATTAGTGTAGCTGCCAAAGTGATTGAGTACATGTGTTTTTCTAAATTGCTTTTATGCTATTAATCTATTAAATACTAAGACTGTAAGACATATACCAGTATATGTTTTAAGACATATCTGATCTAAAAAAAATCTTAACATACTAATGGAAATATTTCCATATTGAATATTAACAACGCTTCCTAAACAAGACTAAGAAAATTCAATACAACATTTGTATATTTTTAATATGTATTAGATCATTAAGTACACTAATATATAAAGTCTCATAAATAACATTTCCCAGTCATAGAATACTGTGTAAATTACTTGCATGGCATGTATACTGTAACTCTCAGACAGGTGCATGTAAAATGCCTTTTTTTGTATTATACACATTCTAAAATGCAATAGAATTAACTTAAAAACTCTTTTTTTTAATTACTGAAATTTGATAATTAAAGCTGGCAAAACAGGATAGGGATGGCTATCACATTTGAATTGAGCAATACACAAACAATCAACGTGTTCTGGCAGATTTGGTTCAGTTTGATATGTTAGTTTGTGATGTGTTAATGGTGGGATCATTTTACTGGGCATATCACCATCACCTATTGTGTCTTTATTGAATACACTGTATATATTATAAGTGTGGTATATTTTGATATACATACTAAAGATGATAACAGAAAGTTTTGTTGGCACAAAGCAAAGCAAATTTAGTTTTTAATGGATTATAATGCGTAAACAGTAAAACATATTTGTTCCAGGAACAAACAATATTTTGATTCATTAATTGATTTTATCCAAAAAGTTTATAATACATTTTAATACCTACAGGAAATGAAAATCACTTCACCATAAGCATGAATTCATTATATGAATGTTTGCTGTAACTGTTTTTTACTGTGTCCAATGTTATCAAAATATCCATATTATTTGAGGATTTAATCTATTTATAGCTGGACAGTGCTACTTCACTTATTATGGCTGCCAAGAATCTCATGAATGCTGTGGTCCTGACAGTGAAAGCCTGTTATGTAGCATCCACCAAGGTTTGTCAATGTCTCAGCCATTTTTTTTTAGATTTGTATATTATATGTATGTGTAGCTCTACAGTATTACCAAAATACCTGCATATGTGGGGAATGTATTACCCCTGTATCTTAGAGGATATTCACTTCTGTAAATTGCCATTATCTTTAAAGTTAGAATATAGAAAGATATGTGGGTGTACAAAATATAAACATTTCTTGTCAGTTTTTCACTTTTTTTTTTTTTTGCAAGTGTAGGTATAGCTTCACCAAATTATATCTTTCAAAGAAAATGCAGAATATACATTTACTGTACATATCAATTTTGTTTTCATTTTTTTTTTGTTCACAGTACAAGCAAGCAGGTCACACAGTAAGTTTTTTTTCTTTTTTGCACTAAATTAGTAATTTTCTTCTTTTAATTAAAAATGGAACATTTTTATAACTTCTCAATATTTTTTTGTAAACATTAACATGAACTTAAATTACAATGTATAAATTTTATGTTTACCTTTAAGACAATTACATATTAATCCAAGATTGAATTACATGTAAGTGCATAAAATTTTGGTTTTTAATTGTAATTAAGTTAATAAATATGGTATGAAATTGTGGCCCTTATATGTTACTTTTGAATGTATTTTCAGTCCACGGTGGTCATGTGGAAGATGAAACCTCCAGAGAAGAAGGCTCTGGTCAAGCGGGAGGATCCCAATGAACTCCGATCCAAAGTCCGTAAGGGGGCCAGGAAGAAGAATATGGAGCCTGTAAAGGCGCTTAGTGAATTCCAGGAAATTGACAGCTTCTGTTAGAACCAAATCATTCCAACAAATACGCAACTCATTTGATAATTTATGAGAGAGGGAAAATTGGGTGTTTTGTTTTACTGACATAGATATATATTTACAAAAGAAAGGGGATCTAAAACAGAAGCTACTAGTATTCTTGAAAAAGATTTCAATTGATCATTTTGATAACTTTTATGATGTTATAAAGGAGGTGTATAAAACAGTCATGATCTGTTTTTGGTATTTTCTAATTTCATATCTTACTAGGTTCATTGAAACATATCGTCCACAAATTTTCATTCATTCTAAAGCACATGTACCATCACAAAGTGAGTTTGATTCCAACACCTTTGTATATTGCTAGAAGTGAAATGCAACTGTAATGCAAAAATTTTTCATGATGTTTAGTATAACATTTTTTTTTAAATCATCCTTGTTCATATTCATGTACTTATTAGGAAAAGTTCAAAAGTTATCACACAAATCACATTAGTTGTAATCCATTTAAATCACCACACCCACTTGTTTCTTGTATTTTTATTTTTTTTTTTATTTTTGCTTTTATTAATACCATTGATTTCGCATATAATGTGATATTATGTCATGGTTGTTTTGTCATTTATACTTGTAGCATTTTGTAGTGTTTATACACACATGTACGATTGTGAACTACCAAGGGTTGTGAAATATGACTGCAGGTCACCTTTATCATGTTGTATTTATCCATAGGCTAGGATTAAATAGTCTTATCATAAAACCGTTTAAAATAAACAGGAAAAAAAATCTGCTCTGTTTGTTGTAATTGTAGAAGTATAAATGTTACATAATCTAAGTTTATGTCATCAGGCAGTGATAGAAACACGTAAAATCATGTTTTCAGTGGCTGTCATATTCTTATTTTGCAACATTCCAAACATACTGAGCTAAACTATCGTAGAATTTTAGTTTCCAGATGTTTGAATGTGTAGAACTTTTACGTTCTTAATACATTGCAGGTGATTGATTTGAAATGAGATCATGGTCTTAACAATCGTTATTGGTAGAAAAAAGAAACTTAAACAGTTACAAAGGTCATGGGACAAAGCAATTAAGTACAGGTCCGTGTAAAAATCAGGCAAAGGGTGATATATGAAGGTTCTCAGAATTTGATGATTTTCCACGCATAGCTTTCTCTTGCACTATAAACCATGTATGTAAAATTAAAAATATTTTGGTTCATGGTTACCATGGAAACGTGGGCAAAGAAATTTCCCTAGCAACCAGCCAATTTTCAGCTTGGATGAACCAAAAAAAAATCTCATCTTTCAGACTCAAATTAAATGTAATTACTAAAGGAATTTCTTTTTTTATTGCTTTTATTCTCAAGATAAACGTATAATTCTTTTAAAGCATATAATTTATAAAAATTCCTTCATATATCACCTACATGCCTATTTTGCATGATTTTTACACAGTACAGACCTGTACTTGCACAAAGCCTTCTAAACAAGCCTTTTGCGTTTATGATGCTTAACATTACTGCGTTTTCCCATCTTAGAAATTTGCTGCTACATGTACCAAAGCTCCTTTGACCAGAGGGACAAGTTGATGTGGTCTTTTTGTTCAAATTTTAGAAAAATGTACTACGCTTTTTATTAGGGACTGATCATGTTATCCTAATAATAGAGTAGATGCAGAGCGTCGCTGTGCAAGGGCTTTATATCGCCAATGAAACCAGTGAAACAATAGCAAAGATGAAAATATTTTTTACCATCACTTTTATTTTTTAGGAACAATGTATGACATTAAGGAAGCTCTAAACACTAAATAAAAATGCTTTTTGAACTTTTCAAAAAATTGAATAGTTTAATGGTGTACCTTAATTGAGTCCGTCTAGTTAATTTTCAACATAGTGGGGTACCTGTGATATTTGTTACAATGAAATCTGAAGCATTAATGGACAGAATACATATATACTTATATTGAAAAAAAAAACCATGCAAATAATGTTTTCAGTTACTTTATCTTGGTCAAATATAATGTTAAAAGCAATTTATATCAAATCTGAGCTCACAATTTTTCATGAGAATGTTTTAGAAACCTGAGTAACAGTATTGGTAAAGTTACCCAGGTGAGCGTTGTGGTTCATGGGGTTCTTAATAAAATTGCATGTAATTACAGTAAATCCACGACAGTTTGGTTTCAACATCTGTTTACTGTGCTGGGTTATCCCCCCTCCCCCTCCCTCTCCGAGACGATATTAATTTTCATAGTTCATGAAAAAGTAATATTTTTCGAAATATATGTTGTTACTCACTTGTTAGTAATGTCTTTTTTAAAACACTTTACATTTGATTTAATATTTATTTTATTGAATAACTCATTCATTGATAATTTGTTTTTGAAAGTTGAAGTTAAGCATATATTTAGTAAAAAATGGGTCTATTTGAGCCATAAAATATGATTTCTGATCTCAAGTCTCCACTCTGTGAATTAAAAAAAACCATAGAGAAAATATTTTAATTTGTAACTGTGCAATCTATATATTGTTATTTGTAATACCGAAAATGTCCAATTTATTAATTTATTTTTGAATAGGACTTTGAACATGCATCTTATTTTAAATACTTTTAAAATAATAAACTCACACAATAACAAAACCTGCAATAATTAATAAGGATCAGCAGAAAAGAAGTAAAACAGTATTTAGATACTTGTAATGAAAATGTCTAGTATATATTTCAAATATTATTTCAGATTTTAAAAAAAAAAAATTGATGTTGAAAGTTGTATTATGTATCTGACTTTATGAACAGAATGCTTTATATGACATTATAAAGACAAGGCGAGTACATGCACGTCATCCAGTGTAACTCCGTATCCAATCCAAATAAGTAGACACCCGTACATAGATAGCGGGATAGTTTCCTGGATCGTGTTCGTTAGCGAGGGATGCTACTCCAACTTGGACTAAATTTCCATCCCTCTTGCATATAAGAGGTCCACCACTGTCGCCCTAACAAGTAGAAAAGTTACATTACAAAATGTCTACAATGTACAATAATGTGTTACATGCGATGTTTAAAAATTTATCTAAATAATATGTTTGAATCAAGTTTAATATCAGTATTGCTTCACAAAAATGATCTACCTTTGGACATATTGCACATATATTTTTATTTAAATATAAATTTTAATATTTAATTTCTTACGGGACATATTCCTTTGTTACGATTGAAGTACCCAGCACAAAAAGTATATCGTAGGTCAAACACATCTCCGCAACTATCCGAATCGTATATGGGGAGGTCCACCATACGGGCTTCGTTGCTTGCTGATCCACCTGTAAATCAATGAAAAATGTGTTAATCTCACATTTTCTCATGTACAGACCTATGAAGTATTGTAAACAATACACGAAGTATTTGAGAAACATATATACGTCCCATGTGGCTATTAAAAGAGAACAACATTAAATTCAGAATATCTCTAATGATCGATAGTGAAAGCAATGGGTCACCTACATGTACAAGTCATGGGTAAAGATAATATACGTACTCTTTTAGTTTGATCTCTATCAGTCCTCAATAACATTAGGGGTGATTATTCTGAGTATCAGTGTACTAGAATTGATATCTGTAAACAAATGGTTCTCAACATACTGAGCTGAAAATATCTTCCTATGTGCTTTGGTCAATTTATTAATTTCTACTGAAAGAAGTAATTCCCCTTTGCTATTCACCTATGATAATAGTTAATCACTATAAATGTTGTAAATTAAAAGGACAATTAAATAACAGAATTATACAAGAAATTTTATAATATTTAATACAAAGTTACTTTCATAGTTTTTAATGGTCAGGAAAAGTTTTAAATATGGTACAAAATACCATATCTATATACAATAAATAATCTTTAAAGAGCAAGAGAGGCCAATGCAATGAGGAATGAAATGATTTATTATTATAACTGATAGAGCTCTAGAAATATTGTTTTTAGTCCGCATGAGGATAGTGACAGATCAACTTTAAAGATTTGTTATTGAGTACTAGCTAAATTAATATTTTGCTTATCCCTGATTATCCAATTTCTCTTGGTTTTGATGGAGTGGAGGGGGGCGGAGGGTTGATGTGCCATTAACATAAAAACAGACAACGAACTAATACCTGATCTGCTACAGCCCCACCCTTGCGCCGAACACTCTGTCCCATCCGGGGGATAACTGTGGTCAGAGTTGAGAATCGTTTCCTGAACATCTGGCCCGAAGGATACGTCGTCAGAAAGTCGAACAACTGCAATATCGTCCTTGCCTTCACTTAAATCTGAAATATAAGGAAATATAATCGTAATGTTCCATGTTTACGATAAGTGTATTAAAAGCAATTTATAATTTCAAATTTTTAACACAGTATATTCTGAAACTGCTAATATTTGTATATACGAGTATATTCGAAAACTTAAACGTGATAACTTACGTTACATAGATCAGAATGTTTCGCTTTTACTTATTATTATTTTAATATAAATCATAATGTCACCAACTTAAACCGATTTTATTTGATATTTATCTGTTGAATACAATTTTTATGTTTCGGTTGTGTTATTTTCACAATTTGGAAAGAACAATGGTGTTATTTTCGTAGTGAAAAAAGTTTGCAACGAAATTTAGTTTTCTTCCCTTCACGAAAAAGGTTGAATTTTCATTGTTTTCAATGATGAAACACTGTGATTTATTCCCTTGATAAAAAAATTTATTTGGTGTTAATTTCACACTGTCAAATATGAATGACAAAACTAAATAGCCTAAAATGTTACAACAGTAAGAGTGGATTGAAATGCGTATTCTTAATTAGGCGACCTCTCAGGCAGGTAGCATCAAAGGAGGGGGATGGGGGCTGCCCCCCTCTTTTTTTCCAAACATTACTTTTTTACTATTGAAAATGTTCATTGAAAGGCGCCCCCCCCCTTTTTTTATGCAGTATAGTGAAATAAGGGTAATGTAGTAGTGTATGAATAAATTTTGGTACTGATAGAAGTTGGAACCTACCCCTCCCCCCTTCTCCAATTTTCCTTTTCCTTCTTAAAATATCTTTCTTTCTTATTTTTTTTTTAAATTTTTATTATTATTATTATTATTTTTGCTTGCCAAGTTTTTCAGATAAGATTAATTTTTTTTCTCTGATTGCCACACCCCTACGCCCCTGTCTCTTAATTATTGTTTGACATTTTTCTTAAATTCTCACAATTATTATGCTTGACATTTTTCTTAAATTCTCACTTATAACATCCCCATAACATCATAGGGTCTAGAGTGCAATCGAGGCCTTTACCGGACCCAGGACCCTTGACATTAAGGATATGCTCAAATTCAAGTTTTACAGAACAAATGCTGAAATTATTTCATATTTGCGTAAAGAACACATTCACAAATCCTGTGTGTGGTGGTAATTTTAATTTAAAATTTTGCCAAATTTATTTTTTCATGCCATATTTTTCTTTCAGTGCACTGCTTTCACGGATTTAATTTGTTCATTTTTTACCTTCATTGTATCCTGGATGTATGATAATTCTATCTACATCTACAGATTTTGCTGCTTTGTCAGAGGTTTTCTTGAACCATGTAAGTCTATTCATCCATGATAATCCGCCACTTGATTTCTAGAATATTCAAGATCATACATTAATATTATAAACAGAAGGTCAAAGGAGCAATACTGGGCAACCGAGCCTCATGAAAAATTTTATCATTCTTGCTAGATATACATGTATAAACCACATTTTCTCACTCAAAAACGTCTTTGATCTTCTTCTTCTTTTTTTTTTTTTTTTCACTTAACTGCCAGCGGCTTTCTCTAAAATCAAACGAATGACCAGGCCTGATTGTTCTATGTAAGATCTTTGTAATATGAACCATTATTTCTCTGCTTTTGGTTTGGGTATTATTAAAAGATTCATATACCCCCTCCCGTTGTTCTTGATATTTCTAATTAGCCCTGAACTATATGGCTGTAATACCGGAGGGGGGGGGGGGGGTCCGCACCCCCTTGGATTTTCAGTTATCAAATTTCTTTTTAAAGTATCGAAAAATGACCGTGCACCTCAAGGAAACACGGACCCCTCATAAAAATAGTAAGGAGAGTCATGTATCTGAAGAAAATTGTCCCATCCCCAATACACACACACAGAGTTTTTTTTTTCAAGTTTGGGCAATGTTTAGATTAAAAACAAAAACAAAAACAAAGAAAAAAAAAAAAAATTAAAAAAAAAAAAAAAAAAAAGCAAAAAAAAAAAATATCCATTTATTTATATTTTTTGTCCAAACATTTCCGAGTCCAACCCCTCACCATCCCTGAAAAAAAGGAAAATATTCCTGGATCCACGCAAGTAATTAGTCCATTAGGTAACTAAACCATAATACATTGATAAGGGACAAAAAAAAGTTTATAATTTATGTTTCATTTAGAGGATTTTTTTTATCAACATTTGATGGATAATTTTACTTTTCAATCATATTTTATTTCTTTGTTTTCACGCAATTAAAAGAACATGTATTACTCGAATAATGTTAAGTGCATACTATTTTAAAATTGAAAGAGGAAATATATAAAAACACTTTAAAGTTTTACAGAAAATGTGATCTTTGTACAATAGTTGATTTAGAAGATGAATTTCATTTGATACTTTAATTCCCAAAAAATGAAAATAGGAGAAAAAAGTATATCAAAACTACTTCTCCTGTCGCCTTAGTGATTATAGATTATGTTAACCAGTCCAAAGGAAGTATGTGACCTAGTATAGGTGACCTATATATATATATATATATATATATATATATATATATATATATATATATATATATATATATATATATATATATATACACACAGTATATAATGATGATGTCTCTATATGAGTGAAAAATTCTCGAACGGGACGTAAAACAACATACAATCAATCATTCTATTATTTTTGAGTGACTACTTATTAATCTGTTTACCTGATAAATACAGAAGGCTCATGGAGCATTTACTCCTCTTTACTCTTCAGGCACGCGCGTATTTGTTCAAAGGATTTATTGGATCGATTACTGTTTCTTATCCACACCTTTTTCTTTGCAAGAATATATGAATATCGTCTACACCTCGAGTCTCTAAGTATAAGTTCCTTTAAAATTATTTTCAATGAGAATACGGGTATGATATAGTTGTTTTGTAATTTCATTTTGTTGAGGGCTGAGGGATCAATGTTCATTCCTATCCCGAGGTCTCAAAATCTGATCAAAGGGACATTATTTTTTTAAATGTTGGTAAAGGACATACATATACTAGTATCATTTATTATAATCTATGATGACCATTAGGGTGTGTCTTGAAATAAATTTACAGTGCAATCATCTCCATTTTAGGTCGAATCCTGACTCATAGAAACATGAATAATGGTAGAATGAAATATATGGAGATAACGAGCAGTATTCAAAGAGTATTCAAGCTCAGAAGTCCATTAAACAATACAAAATAGGAGCAGAGCAAACACGGACCTCCAAAACATCAGAGGTGGGATCAGGTGCCATGGAGGAGTGAGCATCCCCTGCCGACCGGTCACACCCGACGTGTGCTCCTTGTCATGATCGGGAAATAACGGTAAAATCCGTCGACAATTCAGTTTGTAAATAATGGCCTAACAATAAGTATGAAAAACGTCAGTCAGCATTTGACTCAATGATAAAATTTATTTGCTGACAAGGTCATCGTATCGACCATAGCACTTACGAAATGATGACTTTAAACGAGACTGCTGATATTCTTGTTTCATCAACTTGTTTGTCAATAATTTACCTCGTTTTAAAAATTGTACATACGTAGAGCATGCTCTTGCGTATCAAATCAACTGAGAGATATAAACCCGTATGCAGGTGATGAAGGTATATTGCTGCATAAGTAAGGGAAGTTGACGATTGAAAAGTTAAAGTCATCACGTTTATCATAAAGCATGGTTGTTAAGATTACCATTAACGTCTTTTTCAAGTAAAATATTCAAATATGAAACGGATGTGTCAGACTCTGTGGTATCTTTTATCTCAAGTTCACCAGGATATATCGTATCGACATAAGAATGAAAATAGCCATTGTTAATTGACAATACGTCGTCGATATATCTAAATGTCGAATTGAACGCCACAGTAAGTGTTTTCTTCTTTTCACGTACAAGATTTTGGACAAATTCTGCTTCATATGAATACAAAAAAAGGTCTGCTAATAACGGGGCGCAATTGGTACCCATAGAAATTCCAATAGATTGTTGGAGGACCTGGTCTCCAAAAACCACATAGATATTGTCAATCAGAAACTCAAGCATCTTTTTAATGTCAACTTCAGAGTACTTGTGTGTACAATCAGTATGTTTTTTAACTAAAGAATTTTGCAAATGTCCAATGACAAGGTAAGTAAATTTACGAGTTCCATTTTATTGAAAAAGCAGCTTTCAATGTTATCAAAAAGCCTGGACTTTAATTTATCGTGAGGAAAGGTTGTGTATAAAGTTGAAAAGTCGTAAGTTTTTAAGCTGTTGATTTTGGTAAAATCTTGTGATTTCAAATTTTCCAAACGTTCCTTGGAATTTTTAAGTATCCACATCTGATTTACACCACTTCTCGAATATATTGTTGCACATTCGTTATACATTATAACTATCGAATAGGTTCAAGTCTTACTTCAATCTAAACACTCAAAGGCATAAACCGGGAAATCAGAAACACAGATATCTGAAAAAGGTTGGCTACTCTTAACCTTTTAATGATTATGCTAAAGATTTATTCCCTAGAAGTTGAAAATATGAAAATATATGCTTTAATCTTTTCATTCAATTTCAATATACATTTAATATATAAATGTACATGTAAACAAACTGAAACCTAGCTTTACCGTATGGCCCAAACACAGATATAAGAATCGTGAAAAACTAAACTCAGGCCCGTAGCAACGGTATCAAAGTGTGCGTGTGTAGGGTCTGACAAAAAAAAAAAAAAAAAAAAAAAAAAAAAAAAAAAAAAAAAAACTTACCACAAATTGGTGGTGGTGATGGGAGACTTCCCAAATTAATTTGACAAGCCAAAATAAATAAATAAATAAATAAATAAAAATAAATAAATAAATTTAAAAAAAAAACAAACAAACAAAAAAACAAAAACAAAAAAAAACAAAACAAAACAAACAATCAAAAAACACCCCCCCCCCCAAAAAAAAAATCCCCCTAAATTCTGTAATTAACTGTCCAAATCCTGGAATTTTCCAGTGCTCGACCGTAGAGCAAAAAAAAAAGGGGGGGGTCCAGGAGCAGCATATAAAGGAAAATTTACTATCACTCAGAAAAAGTGCCCCCCCCCCCCCCGCGTTCTACCGGCCTGAAACACTCGTGTTCATTATGAATCATTAAAAAAAACATCCTAAAATATTTCATTTACTAGTATATTGATATACTATAAAAATTGTACTCGGCGCATGCTCCTTGGTACCGAATCATGCAGCTGGAAGACATAAATACCATATATGCACTTGATATAAAATATCGTGATTACATAACTTTTATCATGTAAAGCATATTTAAAATCATTTTTGTTACATTGCATATTTTGGCTTGTATATAAATACCAACCTTTAAAGTAACTGATCCCATCTTTATTTTCCACAATTCAGGATCTTTGAAACTACGGCCCAATCTAAAAGACAAAGCAGTACTAGTATTTAAAAAAATCTGCTTCAGAGTACACGTATAAGATTTAATCATCTGTAACATGGAGGGTGTACGATAGTATCACAGCAAGTATCAAACTGTATATTTCAATGTGTTTATGGGCAATTGACCCTCTGATAAGAGAGATAACTCTCATTGGAACGACATTCCTCTATAAATTGTCAAGTTTAAAGGTCATATCTGTCAAATTCAGAAAACCAAGCTATGCTGATATTTGGACATTTCAATTACATGAATTACGACCCTCTGATAAGAGAGATAACTCTCATTGGAATGACATCCCTCTATAAATTGTCAAGTTTAAAGGTCATATCTGTCAAATTCAGAAAACCAAGCTATGCTGATATTTGGACATTTCAATTATATGAATTACGTTTCCTTTGGAAAATCATTATTTTAAATGAGTGGTCAGAGGGATGTTTAGTCTTAAGAATATTTCGATACCGAAGACACTAAACCTAACAACGTACTCAGTTTCTCCATCGAAGCAATGTGCTGAAGTCAATACCCATCGCTTATTTATAAGACTTCCAGTGCACCACTGCTCCGGGGAGTCCAGATCAAAGTCCCCTCTTCTCCTGAAAGAATTGAATATGCTTCGCCTGCCACGGGTCACTGTGAGGCCTCCAGCGACAAAGACAAGATATGGCGCTTCTCCATCCTCCAGGGATTTCCCTCCGATGATACGACGAACTCGTGACAAAATATGGTTATCGCCTTTATTTTAATAATTAGGTTTCATGTAATGCAAAGAAAGTATATTCCTTATAACATAAGTAAATTTATATACTTTATATATCGTTTAAAAGAAATTAATGATACATGTAAATCTAAGATTGATTTTTCAGTCTAATTTAATTTACATGTACTTTTTAAATCTGTTCTCTCAATGTAGTTCGAATTATAGGTAAAACAGAGCTATATGTACAGTGCACATTGTATGTATGAAGAAAAAAAGAAAAAAAAACTAATTGATAACATAATTTTGAATAGTGCGGTACATGTAGTACTTTTTTTCAATGCCACAGATTCTGAAATTATATTAATTACTGTGTATACACTCTGAACATAATAGCAGATATAATTAAAATTGATATTTTTACCTTTCACAATTTGGAATCCCAGAAAAAAAGCGAAAAGAAAATCGACAACCTTCATCCTTTTAACCCATAAACTTCACAAAATGCATTTATTTCTTTTTATAACTTTTGAATTGCTAATTTTCCCCACACCTTAATCTGTTTCCCCCTTATTGATTAACATTTACCAGATGTGGCAATTATTTAGAAAAAAAGGCAAGTATGCCATAACTTTCACTACCGTTGCTAGGTCATGGAGTGTCAATAGGACATTGTACTCAGAGATGATTTTATCATTAAAACTCATACCCATGTGCATGTCCGGAGGCTTGCAATGTGCTCTTTTTTATTTCCTTTTTATGATTTCTATAATCCAGTTAGGTTTCCAACAGAACTCTGTCTTACATGTACTACATATTCAGTAAATCATTTTATTTTGTAAATCGCTAGTCATTCCGAAATATTAGTATTGAATGTGTAATTTTGCAAGCTTGTCTTGCCACCAAAATTAAGTAGTCAAAGATAATGAATGCAACTCTGTTGTTCACAGAAAAAGATAAGAATTATAAATACACAAGAGATATATCAAAGTATGCTTCGAAAACTTTTATTTGCTTAATTTTAAGTCCTCGAATAATTACTGTTGAATTATAGATTAATTGTAATATTACTTAAATGTACGCGTATATAATTCATAATATGCTACTTATTTGTAAGGTATAATAGTTTTTTATGAGTACTTTGTGGTTCAATCCCGATGTGTTTTACATACAAACAGTGTAAATATTACAAAAAGGGTGAGATACTGAGACAGATAATCTCAGGCCAGTCTGAAAGCATTTTAAAACAACTGTAAACTTTAATATTTATTCAAATACTGTATTCAAAAATGAAAAATCCAATCTTTATTATCATCATTCAAACAATTATATTAAATATTTCAGGACAAGTATGCTTTTTACATGGTCTTTATTATTTGTATTGGTTGCCACCAAATGATTCCATAGTGTGTCTGAAAGTCCAGAGAGATGATGAGTCGGTGTTTCTACTAACTGTTGATTAGTAGATTCTTGTAAGCATGTCAACGACAACAGCGTCAGAACGTTGTTATATTCCAGTCTGTCCTTTTATCCAATCCAAATAGGACGACACGCGCACGTATATCGAAGGGTTATTTGCCGGATCTTGTGGGTTTGCGAGATAGGCGACTCCGACTTGAACAAGTTCCCCGTCTCTTTTGCAGAGAAGAGGACCTCCGCTGTCACCCTGATAATAGAGAAATTTTAAATTCATCGTGTCACAAACCCGCAATAGAAAGAGAGAGAATTGAGTCATAAGAGAATCTATCTTTGCGAAAATATTGCATTCGCTGCTAGAAATTTACCTTCCTGCATTCTACTCAAGCATATGACGAAAAATACGTAAATTAAAATCTACATCTATTACAGTTTTTATTTCTCCCTATAAAATTGTGATTAAATGTTTTCAGCTTCTCTGAAATGACTTAACTAATTCTAATCCATATTTGAATATACACGTAGCATGGAAGAACGAGGGCCCTTCAACCTCCCCAATTCAATGCTCCTCTATTTACTCCCGAACATACTGTAGATTCCAAAATATACGCGAGGAACTAATTATCGCGTAATTTCGCGAGAAGCATCACTCGCTAAATTAAATTATCATGGCGGAATCCATATAAAAGCTCTAGATATTCGTCCACTCGGAATTATCGTTCTCGCGATTTGGTGTCCAAGGGCCATTTCGCGATATTAAGTATACTCGCGTAAAATAAGGAATCTACAGAATTTATTTATATTTCAGACATACCTATTAGTATGCTTTAAAAAAAACCATTGGCCCTCTACTAAATTGTGTTAAATATGACTCTGGGCTAGTTATCAAGTCCCATGAAAGTTTTAAGTTTGTATATATTGCAAATGCATTGATAATTTCTTTTACTCCTGGACATTTTGCAGCTAAACTGTAAGTTTGATGATTTTAATGAACAGTTATCGCTTCAACAACTTTGTGAAATTCTTGGCTCCTTAGCGGGGTTATGTTGATCATATTAAAAATGCAATTTGATATACTGTAATTCGATACTTATTAAGTTGTTTTTATTATGATTATTTTTACGTACACGTATAGCAGCACATAAGCAACACATTCATCATATTTAAGATATCAATAGTGCTGAACCAGAAATATAATCAAAATAATAACCCAATTAAAGTTTACAACAATAATTTCAACGAAGTTATGCATAATTAAGATAGCTTACCAAACAAATGCCTCGTCCCCTGTCGAAGTATCCAGCACAAATATTAAGATTTATGTCAAATGTTTGCGCACAACTCTCGGAATCGAATATAGGCATTGTCACCGTTCGTGCTATGTCGCTTCTAGGCCCATCTATAATTCAAAGAAAAGATATAAGGGAAACATAGATATGGACGCTCATCCAAATTAATTCACCTGGGTAGTTTTTGACGGAAATGAAACCCCATAAGAATAGGTATTGCTTTCTTGATTCCCAGAAGCTGACCGAATCTCAATCTGCACTCAGGTATGCTTTATTAAATTTAAAAGTTGTGATGTTAATGACCTGTCTTTCAAAAAAACGTAATAGATGTACGTCTGTACAATTTTTCTCACAAGAATTGAATTAATTTCTTATAAATACACCCTAACTTCATTAAATGTTATAACATGTGTGTTCATTTTGCGGTGATTAATCAAAGTCGTGTTATTTACAATCTGGTATAAAATCACCTGCTCTGGTACAACCCCATCCCTGAGCTTTACACAACGACCAATCAGGCGGATAACTGGAGTCCGAGTTTAGTTTAATTTTTTGAACATTTGGACCAAACTGTACATCTTCTTCCAGTCTGACTACCGCAATGTCCCCCCTATCATCGGGATTCTCTGGGGGAGAAAAAAAGGAAAACTTTATTTTGAGGCTACATGTATATAATGGTATTTATATCCTACAAATTTTTTTTATTGATTCAAAAGACATAACATGTAGTTTGTACACGAAAAAAATACACACATTTTACCCAACCATTATAATGTCATAAAAAATCCACTAATGATAAACTGTCGCATTATAGGGAATAATTTGTTTTTCTTTAATGATAAAATTGTATCATTGTTGATGCGCCATCACAACCACTCATGATAAAAGTAATATAACGTTCACAAATGAATACTTTTTAGAGCTTAAAAATTTCGTCCACTAAACAGACAAAAAAAAAAGGAAAACTTACAGTCCCATCCACTACTACTACTAATAAAAAAAACACTAATGCATTAAGCGGACAAATTTCAAATTATTTAGGTCTTAGAATTTCAATATCCTGTCTCTGCCGTTTATTTCACTGTAGTTGTTTTGGGGTGGATGGGAACTCTGAATATAAGATATCAAAACTTTTTTACCATTTAAAATATTTCAAATTAGTAAAATCGGAATTGTTTTATTAGTATGGATAATTTATATTTTTACCAAATACAAAATTTTTGAATTCCTTAGGTGAAGTTTTACCTTCGTTGTAATCAGGGTGAATAATTATTCTTTCGAGGCCAACATACTTTCCATCTTGGGCTCCATTGTTTTTAAACCATCGTGCTTTAAATGCTTTCAGTTTATCAATCCACGAACGCCCCCTAGATTCCTGTAATATGTAAGATCTCTTATATTAATTTCTATTCTTTATAAAAGCTATGCATGGCGTATCTGAACTAAAAAAAAAAATAATAATACGAAATTAAGTGTAGACACACATGATATATGTTATAAAAATTTCAGATTAAAATTTTCAACGACTTCGAACTCGAATAACCTCTGTTTCTATGGTTAAATTGAGTTTAAACTGTGCTATTCAAATCTCTATTATTTTTGTGGAGTCGGTAAATAAATCGGTTATTGTTTTAAATTTTTGATATCTTTGAAACGCGATTAATTTTAATTTTGTAATTTACAGAAAAGTCCTATCTTTATATGTATATAAAGTAATGAAACTAATATAAATATCTTTTTAATTTTGGTTATCCGAATTTATCAACAATACGCCATATACCCGCGGACCCAGTATACCTTTAAGATTATCAAGTATACACATAAACTTACTGACAAAGACATCAGAATATCTTGGTAATTTACAAATTTTCCAAATACATATACACTGTAGTGTTGTTTTCTTGTCTTACTTTCGCCAGCTATGGCTTATAATCACGACTTGAACAATGTTCTAGTATTAAAGAATTTCCGTCTTTCTTTGAAACACCCCCCCCCCCCTCACACACACACACACACACACTCCCTCACACACACACATCATAACGTGAATACTAGCAGTTTGGTGTTTTCAAATCTGATATAACATATAATTATGAGTAAATCTATCACAAAGGTTTATAAAATTTGTAAAAAAAAAAAAAAAAAAAAAAAAAAAAAAAAAAACGATCACAACTTGACTTCCAGCATAACAAACCTGTAAATCATTTAATGACACAGATCCTATCTTCACTTTCCACAATCTTGGATCTTTAAAACTCTGTCCACTTCTAAAAGACAATGACATGACTATTAATTAAACGAACTTAAAACTGATGTCGAAATTTTAAGAGTTATCGGACTTTTTTGATAAAGGTGATAGTATTCTGCATTAGAAATATCGATGAGAAAAATTCAAATGTACTTGACAATATCAAAGAAAAGTCTTAAAACTTAACATGAAAAAGGGGGGGAGGGGGTTATGTTCATTATCATTTAGCCGAATACAGGAGTTCATCTTTCGTGACGTTCTCTGAAAAAAATGGTTTTACCCTCTGCCCCCCCCCCCCTTCTCCTTCCATAGATATCAATACACAAAATGTATCAAGTTTTCAAAATTTCATTTTATATTTTATTTATGAAATGTAAAAACAGATACATGTTTTCAAGCATTTAGAAGGTAAGCTGGGACCCAAGGCATATTTGTTTAATATGAACTACACACAAAATCCCGCAGAATTAATTCCCTTCCCATTGACCACTTACTGAGTTTTCCCATCGAAACAGTGGGCTGCAGTCAATGCCCATCGGTCACTGATCAGACTACCAGCACAGTATTGTTCTGGTTCCCCGAGGGGTGGTCTCTTAGTGGTGGTCGTAGTTGTGGTAGTAGTCCTCCGACGAAAGGAATAGAATATGCTGCGCTTTTTGCGGATGTTCTCAAAGTTACCACCGACAAAGGTTAAGTACGGAGCCTCTCCCTCCTCTAGATCTTCTCCTCCAATTACTCGGCGAACTCTGGACAGAATGTGTTCATCACCTTTTAAACACAATAATAATTGATTATTGAAAATAAATTTTTACCATGAAATTGAATACGATCCTCGAGTAGTATTTGTCTTCTAATGCTAAAAAGCGTTTCAATTGTCAAAACTATTAGCATGTTTTGACTTTTTACAAAATATACTATTGCTTTTTTTTTTAAGGTTTCAATCGCTTGTCTAATACTTTGTTACGTACAATGTTCGCAACTTACAGTTCACCAGCCTCTTTTTCATAGTGACTAAACTTGTGGCAAACTTTTTGCTTTTTTCTGGTCGTGACACAATTCTTGAATTAAACCAACTCTCTGGACATACTTGTATTACAGTGAGGGACAGCATTACAAAAGATAAGGACCTGCAATCAGTGATCTTTTCCCATTCCGAGTCCCCTCATTTGTGTAGTATTACCTTTAACTTGTAGTCATTACTGCATCATTGCAATATCTTGCCGAATTTTCTAGTACCCAAACTTTCGTAATTTTTTCACGGTAAAAGACTTAACTCTGTTTATGAATCAAAAGCAAACCTTTTTATTACAAAACATCTTTCAAAAGTTTGTATATGGAAAAATAAAACACATTTACCTTGAACAGCAAAGTATCCAAAGGAAAACACTAATAGGAGATTCAAAGACATCATTCCTCAACAAGACGAACAAATAATTATCAGGGCATTTCTTTATTGTTTACAATCATGCATGTATACATGCATTTTCAATGGCCAAAAATATTCAAATGATCTTACAATTTTATGACCCTTCATTAAAATTCACCAGATGTGCATTTAACAGGAGGAAAGGTATTCTTTGAATGCACGGCTACTTAGTAAAGTTCCTGTGTAACGAAATGCCTAAAGGAGTTATAAAGATATTGGCGCGCGAGATAATCTAAAGAAAATTCCCCAATGGCTAATTATGAATACATGCACGTACTTTTCCTTTTCTCCGGGTTGAGAGAGAGAGAGAGAGAGAGAGAGAGAGAGAGAGAGAGAGAGAGTGAGAGGAGGTTTTCTACTCAACTTAAGGATCTAAGACAATTAAATTCAGTTTCCACATGTTATATTATTTATGCCAAGCTTCACTTTTATGCTATTGAAAATTGTAAAAATGTTTGTACATGCTAAATCTATTGTAATTGCTAAAAATATATTATTTATCAGGAAGTTTTCCTATAATTTAGTCACCCTTATTCTACATTTAAAAAAGCACGGTTATGTCTTGAAGAAAAAAAACCCCACACACTTAAAGCAACAGTTGAATTAATTAGGACTTTTTTCTGTACGTTGCTATTATGTGATCACGTAAGAATAGAAAGTATTCAATGCATAGCTATAGCTATATGAAATACATCATTATTAAGAAAATCTAAAGGAATACATTTTGGAAGATTTTATTTTTTTCTCTCTCATATTTTTGCATTTAACATCAATATACATCAGCGTAGATATGAAAGTAAAGATTTTTTGGAAAATGCAAAGAATATAATGAAAGGGCTTTAAAGGAAAATTTCTTGATAAATTTATGTAAAGCCTGTAGGTTAACCGTTGCACAAATTTTTATGATACATATTTTTGTGTTTCCTACATTTTCCTTGAATCACCCAAAAATCAGAAATGAATGAAATTAATTCATTTGGGTAATTCAACGAGCAGCAATACGCTTATGTATGGAAATTAAATTATAAATAGTTTCCCCCCTAATTTTATTTTTTAAATCAAAAACTGGAATTTCTGATTAAAATTATCACAAACCCAGCCGCTTCCAACTTTTATAAATGTATTATTGACCATTCGGCAAACCTCGGATGATTCCTTCGCCTTCATAGATGAGGTACGAATCGGCCAAAGTGTGCCGAGTGTCAATTGCATTAAATCACGTGATTTGAAGTGAAGTCATGTGATATCAGTCTCACGAGACAAAATGGCAGCGTCCATACGAACAATGTTGATATTGAATCTTTTTTTGAATTTAAGTTTTGTTTCTTGTCTCCCGAGATTTTTCCACGGGCGGCCAAAACATGGAATGCTCGGGGCTCCTATATTGCCCCAGGAATCTGTTCTTCCCCCAGATATGTGGATGACACAAAGATTGACGCATTTCAACGATGCCGATACCAGAACTTGGCAACAGGTTTGTCTGCTAGTTCCTGATTATATTTGTGTTAATTTATAGCAGGATTTATTCATATTTTAAAAACTGGAATTTTGTTTAATAATTAAGAACTGAATAAATCCGAGAAAGATACAAAGATGTGAGTCATGTGACCATTAACGTGATTAATCTGTTAATCATGATTTATCATATTAAGCAGAAACGTAGGTATACACGTATGCAGCTACCTTATAAATTTTTGTGATAAGGAACTACTCAAAGACTAAAGTAAAGTATATGTACATGTATTTTAAAAAAAGCATTTGCTTTAAATAGAAAAACTTTCCAGCAGAAAAGGGGACGGGTCCAGACCCTTCCCTCCCTATTGTGATTTTCATTGCTCTTTAATTGATGCTTGGATATTTTTGATGGTTGATTCAACCACCCTCTTCTCCATAAACAAGAATAAAAAAAATGGCTAATTGTTAAGGTGATGAATCTTTCAGTATTTCAATCTGTGCACTTATGATTTTTATAACACATTTTCAGAGATATTTTGTCAATGACACTTTCTATGAACCCGGTGGTCCAATCTTTGTAATGATTGGAGGAGAGGGAACTGCTAATCCAGCATGGATGCTTCAGGGAACCTGGATAGAATATGCCAAGACTTATAAAGCCATCTGTTTTTTACTTGAGCATAGATTTTATGGGAAAAGCCATCCTACAGTGTAATTTCCTTTAAGAAATGATATATACATGTAAAACTTTTATTATTATATATCTAAATAATAATTAATAATAGCAATCATATTATTAATAATGATCATAAATAATAATGATAATAAAGTTACCCTTGTAAAGAAATTAATACTTTGTTATTTGTTGATCATGGTTGAAACATTGAATATTTAGTACTTTTCTATTTTTACTGTATCTACATAAGCACTACATGTATGTTTTGCAGTGATTTGAGTGTGGATAATTTGCAGTTTCTGAATAGTGAACAGGCTCTTGCTGATTTGGCATACTTCATTCAGTTTGTTAAACAAAAATACAAGTTATTGTCAGAAAAACAGAAACTCATCACCTTTGGAGGCTCATACCCAGGTAAGTCATTTATTGTGCCCCGCTTTTGCAAAAGCTAGGGGACATTAAATCTCATTCGTCTGTCTAGCTGTCAGTCTGTCTGTCACAAAAACTTTAACCTTGGTCATAACTTTTGAATGAGAAATGATACAGCTTCCATATTAAATATGTATATTACCTGTGACAAGACCTTTCCAAATACACTATGTTTTTTGACCCCGTGACCTTGACCTTGAAGTTTGACCTATCTTTCAAAAATTTTGACATAACTTTAAATTGGTCATAAAATCATATTACATATGTATATTACCTGTGACAAGACATTTCCAAATATACTATGGTTATACCCTGTGACCTTGAAATTTGACCCTTTTTAAATTTTTTTTTGAGTTTGTTTGACATTTGATTGAGAATAGATACTACATGAAAGCATGTTTAACCTGTGCAATACCTGTGACAAGGTGTTTCCAAGCATGCTAAATTTTTTTACCCCTTGACCATGACATTCATGTTTGACCAAATTTTCAAATTTTAACTTTGATGATTACTTTTGAATGACATATGATAGAGTGTTCATATTTGACAAGTGCATTACCTGTGTCAAAATGTTTCTGAATGTATTGTGATATTTGACCCCTAACCTTAACCTTCAAGTTTGACCTAATTTTCAAACATTTCCTCAGTGTTGTTAACTTTTGAAGTAGCGAATATGGGGCATTCATATTTGACATGTGCATTACCTGTGACAAGCATTTCTAAACGTACTATGATTTTTAACCCCATGACCTTTAAGTTTGACCTAATTTTCAAAAATTTTAACATTGATGATAACTTTGGATTCTATATTTCAAATTTTAGATATTTCACAACAAGTAAAATTTTAATTGATACAGCCATATAATACATAACTTTATTTTTATGTCTGCATGAAATGACCTTAAGTACTAACAGTGAAGAAAGCAAGTTTATAAGAGAGAACAAAACATAATTTCTTTGGGGTTCAAAACCTGGTCTTTAAGTGAAATATAACCACTTAACATAAAGGTTAAAAATTAATCTTGGCTCAACATCTTTGTTTATCATTTCAGGTTCCCTTTCTGCTTGGTTCAGACTGAAATACCCCCATCTGGTTGATGGAGCTGTGGCAACCAGTGCACCCATTGTAGCAAAACTGGATTTCAAAGGTTACCGTATATACTCGCCTATAAGTCGGTTTTTTGGGAGTTAAACTTTGGTCCAAAAGTCCTTATCCGACTTATAGGCGAGTTATAAAGAATATTGGCATTATAGCGGGTCAATCTATTTAATGTAAGCTTAAAAAATACAACCGACTTATAGGCGGACCGACTTATAGGCGAGTATATACGGTAACTGATTGATTGATATTTGGGAAGGATACCTTCCATTTAGTTATTTTATGAATTATTCAGTATTTTTTTTCTTGCATGTTCATGTTTTCAGAAAAGTTAATTATGATAGGAAGTTGAAATGTGTCACTCTGACTCAATTAAGTACATTCAATGAAATTTATATGGAAAATAGCCATACCTAAGTGAAAGTTTACAGAAAGGTGTTATATTGATGCATTGTGTATCCATACTTACCATAGATCATGAGTCACACTTTTTTTTTTACACTGTAGTCCCTTCAAATAAAATGCAATTCCTAAAAAAAAGAATAATTAATGATTAGTTTTAATGAAAGTGTATGTACATGACTGTATTACTACTAAGGAGATTTATATCTAATGCAATAGTGTACTAATTTATGTTTATACATAAACAACATGACATAGCCTAATAATCAGAGAACAATGCTGTTTGCACTGACTAAACCCTGTAAATTTTCTGGATTTTACAAGGCTATCATGTGTTAACCAGTTTGATGTGATTTAAAATATAAGGCATATCACTACCAGTCAAAAGTCCAATCTATCTAAGAAATTGTACTACATGATTAATTCCTAATTTTACAACCTTTCTGAACATTCCAGGACCTACATTTGTACTAAATTTTAAAAATGTTGTAGACAGGATATACATGCAAACTTTTATTTTGTTTTCAGAGTATTTACTAGTTGTTGTTAGTTCCTTAGCAACCACAGGACAAGGGTGCAACAAGAACATCAAAATGGCAACAGATGCTATCACAAATATGCTGAAGACAGATGCAGGGAAGAAAAATGTAGAAAAGATGTTTAAGTAAGACTTTAAGATTTAACAAGGTCCAGAAATAGAAATTACTTTAATTCTCAGGCTTTCAGATTAGTTTAATCCAACTGACATACAAAATGAAATATAAGGGCTTGTTTTTTTTAATTTATATCAGTCAAATTAAATTTATAGTGATCTGAAGGTCTGATTGAGTGTGTCATCATACATGCTGTTTGAAATATAAAAGTATTTCTTTCTTAAAGTAAAGGGAGTAACATAATTATTTTGTATAAATTCAGGCTTTGTGATCCATTGGATACTTCAACATACCTTGATGGTGCTAATCTATTCTCCAACCTAGCTGGGAATTTTGAGGGTGTGGTGCAATACAATAAAGATAACAGGGCTTTTGAGGTATTAAGCTATATTGTAGATTCCTAAATATACGTGAGGAATTAATTATCCCATTATTTAGCGAGAAGTACCACTCGTGAAATGATATTACTCGCTTTTATTTTTTTGGTACTGAAATCCACATAAAACTTCTAGATCAACAGTACACTCGCAAATTATTATTCTCACGATTTTGACGTTACATGTATTAAGTACTCGTGTAAAATAAGGAATCTACAGTATTGCAGGTTAGAGGAATATATGTAAAATTTTGTTTAAGATATGATCAGCATTGTGTAAGAATCAGAGAAATAAATGTATATGGTTTGAAAATATACCATGTAAAATTCCTTAGATCTTTTGATTCCTATTCTTCAGGATGGTAAAACCTGTATTATATTGAAAGAAGTAAAATGTTTAAGTAAATTATGACTAAACAATTCCTGTATTAATTATAATCTTATATCTAACAGTCATTTCTCATCAGGGTGCCATTGGAACTAATATAACAATAGACACCATTTGTGGCATCATGACAGATGAGAGCACGGGGTCCCCAGTAGAGAGATATGCCAAGGTCAATGATTTGATGTTGTCTACATACTCACAGAAATGTCTGGATAACAGCTTTAACAGTATGATTAAAGAATTACAGAATGTGTCCTGGAATGCTAGTGCATCTGAAGGAGGTAAAAGTTGCTTAATGTTTTTTCATGGGTGGATCAAAGATCCAATACTTTTTTGTGGGATTTCTTCCCCCCCCCCCCCCCCCCCCCAAATAATAATAATAATCAAAATAAAAATGCTTCTATTATTTAAAAAAAGGTAAATAAATATGTTACTATGAATTATTTAAGGACTATGTCTACTTTCCAGAGGAAAATATGGAGGGGGACCCCCCCCCCCCCACCCCACCCCCAGATCATGCTGATCTTTTATCTTGAATTCCTTATATTCAAATGCATGGATAATTTAAATATTTTAAACTAGCATAAGTTCATCCAAGTAAATTGTGTATCTACATGTATACAATGTATCATATTTACAGGTAGACAATGGATGTACCAGACTTGTACAGAGTTTGGATTTTTCCAGTCTTCAGACCTTGGTGACACACAGCCATTTGGAAATTTTTTTGATGTCAAGTAAGTTTTTTTTTCACCCTTCAAATACAAACTGTACATGTAGAGGAGACAGTTTTAAATATATGTAAATAATGTGATGTTAAGGGATTTATATCCCAGAAAAAAAGGACATACTTGTACCTGTCTATTCTTGGAGCTTTTAGTTCAAAAGTCTAAAAGAACCAGTATAAGGTTAAATCCCACCTCTCTACACTTATTACCGGGTAATGCCATATATCCATGTACAATTATAAACACTTCTTTTAAAATTTCCTTTCTCCATGTTATAAATATGCCCTTGGATTACCAGATAATCTACAATATTGTTCTGACAAGGGGAAGACTTTCTATTTCAACATTTTATTTCCTCTTATAAGCCATAAAATGATTTCTTTAAATATTCGTATTAGTTGATTATTTTGTGTTAAAAGGTGGATATTGCTCACAAAATGAGAAGTATTTTGTTTTATTTCTTAACATTTTAATCTGTTCCTTGGAGTAAAAATAAGGTCTCTAAACATAACATTATTTTTACAGCTTCTCTGTTCAACAATGTATCGACATCTTTGGACCCAAATTTAACCAGAATCTAATACAACAAGGAATAAACAGAACCAACACAAACTATGGGGGGATGGGAATGAAAGCAACTAGGATTGTGTTTCCTAATGGATCTATTGATCCTTGGCACTTCCTTGGATTTACAAATGATTTATCTAAAGAATCTCCAGCAATTTTCATCCAAGGTTAGAAATGTTTCCATTTTCAAGAAATGTACACAATGTACTTGTAGCTCAGTAGTCTATTTTAAAATATTTACATTTCCAATAAATTTCCCTATGATTCTTTACCAAATAGAAAAAAGTTCATTTTCTCATGAACTACCATGAATGAGCCTGAATATCTCAATTGTTACTTCATAAAACCGTACTTGATGTCAAAACTATTGTGCAAACTGTTTTGCCTTAAAAATGACAGTTGAATGGCATAATTTGTGGCAACTAAGCATAAAAATAATGTAAATATAAGAAATAAATTTAATTTTTGAAAATTCTTGAGGTACATGAACTACAACGCTTCACGCCAGCATATTTATCATGAAGTGCTAACACACTCCATGAAATAAGCCGGCGTGAAGCGTCGTAGTTCATGTCCTTATGAATCTTCAAAAATTAAATTCATTTCTTAATTGTCCCAGAATTGGCATATTGCCATTCAGCCTGCCAATGCTTTCTCTGTCGTTTCATAGGACAAGGTCAGAATTGATGTCTGTGCTATGGAGCTCAAAGCGTATGTTTGATCTGGCAGTGCTCAGCCCTGCACTTGATTTTCAAGCACCTGCTTAATTTCAAGCAAAACAAATTTATGTGCCTTGCTGGATGGCTAGACTTTTGTGTACTTAAATACCCTTTATAACTAAAATGTATTATTTTTAAGAATTGCTTCACAAGAGCTGAAAAGGAATACTCTCAAAAGTTTGTTTTGAATTCATACCACCTTTTGAAAATTGTGCATTTTAGTTAGAATATTATTTTAACAAAATTGAATACTATAGTGCAACCTGCAGTTAATACATGTACTTGCTTTGGTGCATATACCAGTGTGCAGCTAAAGCATATAAAAATTTGATGTTGAAACACCAAGAATGGAATTGGAATAAAAAATAATCAACCTTTTTTTTTGAAAAAAAATATAACACTTAGAAATAATTTATGTTTACAGGAACAGCTCACTGTGCTAACATGTATCCCACTGCCAGCAATGACCCACCACAACTAGTACAGGCAAGGGCTAACATAGAAAAAATCATTGCAACCTGGCTTATGTAGAAGGAAGTATAGCTACATATTGTCAAAATAATTTGTGCCATATTTGATTAAACTGTGGTATTAAGCACAGTATTAACAAAGTCAAATATTTAAGACTGACAAATATTTCTGAAAATATATTCATGGATGGCTTTTTCTGTCTCCTCACAAAGGAGTTTGAGGGTATATACACTGTAGTAACGCGCTTGTGTGTGTTTGTTTGTGTGGTTTGCATGTGTGTTAGTTTGTTCTTGTGCGAAATGGAAGTGACATAATTGCATCGGGATCGATGTCGAATGCTGTCTTGAGAAGGGATGGCCCGCTTTGCGGTGCCCATTTTTCATTATTTACTAAAGATTTTTAAGTTTGAAATACAGGTACACATATTGACTTAAAAGCTTATAAATGCATTTAAATCAGTAATATACCTCCATTCTATTTCAAGTGCCAAATGAACTATTACTAATTGACATATTTGGTTTCGTACCTGTTATATGTTATTATAACTGTTACAGTTTTTCTCTGTACTTAAATTTAAATGTTTTATAAATTTATTACCCATAAAGGTGTGTGTTGTATCTGTGTTTTAGTGGTATTTTACAAAAAAGCAATCAAAACAGTAGTTGCTTTTATTTCAAAACATTCTTGCTCTGTATGAAACATTTTTAGTTTAAGTTGTTGTTTTTCTCTGAATGTCTATAGCATCTCAATACAATTTTGTTGGGGACTTGGGGGCTATCCTTGTACATTTTTCTAATATTTCATTAAAAGCTTCTCTTTGGTATTCTATCAACGGGTATAATGTTTTCTTGTTTTTTTTTTTCTGAAGTGAAAATGTTTTAAAGATAGCAGTAATGTTTCTATAGGTGATGACTTTTTTTCTTAAAAATAAACATTAAAAAATATATTTGGTAATGCACTTGCCAATTACAAAAAGGGTCATAATCAAAATATACAGCCTTTCAAGTCAGTATCAATTGAATGGAAGAATTAATATCTTGGAAAAAAAAAATATAAAGAGTGATGGCACGAATCAATAAAAATTCAATTTTCAATGACTTGAAGTTGGTCAAACCGCACGAGACATTTCAAAGTGTTAGACTGTGACATCACACAACGTCGTACATGTATGTTATGTGCATTTCCATAAAAAAGTCTAAATAGTGCATTTTTTTTCTCCATAACACGATAAGAATGAAAATATAAATATAAGAAATAAAGTATCATTTGTAAGAGTTTCATTGGGATATGACATGAAGTTGGTACATAATCAAATCTACTATAACGCTCTTCGGGAGTTATAGGATTTGATCACGTGACCAACTTCATGTCATATCCCGATGAAACTCTAAAAATGATATTTTATTACTTAAATATCTTTACAACGTATTGATGTCATGTTAGAAAACGGCATTTATATAAAAATAGTGCTGTATTGCTTACACTTTGTTATACTGTTGAATTTTTTAAAAATATTTGAAATATTCGTGCATGTAGAAAAAATTCTATGTATACATCATGTAATGAGGAGGTTGAATATAACGTTCAAGTGACCAATCTAAAAAAATTCTACAAACCATATATACATATCTGTGAAGATGGTAAAAAACACGAAAACCCGGGAATTCCAGAGGATGAATCAGGTGCCTAGGAGGAATAAGCATCCCCTTTTGACCGGTTAAACCCATCGTGAGCCCCATATAGATCAGGCAGACGGAACATTCCGCAGTCAACCCCCCCCCCCCCCAAAAAAAAGAAATACATGCAGAATTAATTCAGTTAGTAGGTCATGAAAGAGTGATTAGTGAAAAGTGTCATTTTTAAACGAATTTGGAAAAAAAAAATGCTGTTTATTTTCTACACATAATAGGTAGAAAATGCGGGCAATCCACAACGAACAACTACCATCATTTAATAGTTCATTTTATACTCAACGAAATATAAAATTTCGGGAGAGGTATTCTTAACATAAGATAAAATGACCTCAACATTTGACTAATTTTTTTGTACGATATTAATTTAAAAAATCATTAATTAGTAAAATTAATCACATTATTATATCTTTACTGTCATTACGCTATATATAAAATGTTATTATAGCAATGTAACTTTGAGGTCAAAACATTTCGACATACGATGTAAAAATTATAACTGGAATTATAGCAAAATGACGAGTACGATATTTCTTTATTTTGTTTGTTTGTTGGTTGTGTAACGTCCCTCTCTAGAATTGACGCCACCACTTGCCGAAGGAGAGCTGATATTTCTTTAAAATATCATGATCAGTGATATTATCTTATTTTATAAAAATGTTATTATATTTCCTCGGTATTGACGCATTAGATATCAAACAAAATTTTAGGTTAATGCATTTGTGATTATTTAATTGCCTCTATATTTTCTAAATAATGTCTAAGTATCTGATTTAATAAATCTCCTATGATCGTTTCGGTATAATAAAAAAGCTATGGGTACTCGGGTATGGGTTAATGGTTCCTCTCGGCAGGAAACTTCTGAAGAATTTTAAATGAAAGCGCTAACGTTTTATAGCTAATGTTGTCGTTTTTTTTTTTTTAAAAATATTAATTGCCAGACACTGTGATCTATAATTGATTATTCATTTTGGATATATATATATATATATATATATATATATATATATATATATATATATATATATATATATATGTATATATATATATATATGGGATCACATGTTTACCCCGTTATCCCGTGGATATCAGCCATTGGATATTTTTTTTTTTTTTTTTTTTTGGATATTTCACAGATGTGACGTCGTTTGTGGTTCGATATGTTTTTTATCCAACGTCACAGGGTTTTGCATGAGAGTGATGAAGTAAAAGAAAGTAGATTCCTATATAAAAACAGTGTAAAAAATGATAGTGATGTATAAAACATGGGATAAAAAGAATCTCCTTTGATTTGTAGTATATACGATATGATTTTTATCCAACGAGTTGTATGTTTTTTTTTTATCCCCGAGCCAAGGCTTAGGGATAAAATACACACAACTCGTTGGATAAAAAATCATATCTAACCACAAATCATGGGAGATTAATATATATATATATATATATATATATATATATATATATATATATATATATATATATATATATATATATATATATATATATGCGCTGGGTTGTTTCCACTTCTAGAATATGCAGTAGCACACCTGAAATCTTTCCTTTACAGCAGTTTAATTTTTTGTAAGGAGTAAAGATGGGGACTTGGTAAAGGTTTTGCTGGACCCGACGTTGTAGAGTATTACCTTCCCCGTAGACAGAAATCTCTCCCTCCCCCCCCCCCCCCCCAAAAAAAAAAATTCTATCTTTAAAACTTGAAAAATCACGACAAGAAATACTCCTCCATAAATCTTGCCATTGTTTCTTATGATTTTGTGAATTATAACAGATATAAAAAAAATCTTGTATGATTTGCATTGTATAAATTTATGTGAATTAGAGGTTAACCAAACTTTTCTCAAAAACTGACGAATGGTATACAGTATTCCGTACGCAACGCTACAACTTGCAAGGAATGCAGTCCCGGAGAATTGACACTGTATGAATAAATTATGTTATTGCTATAGTAAACGCCACCTTACAAATTCATAACAAACATGTCAGGTAGGAGTGAATGTTTTTCTGTTTTGTAACGATTTTCTTCTGTATATTCTTTTAATCATTCTATTCGTGTAATTCATGAACACATTTTATGTTTTTGTACTTTTTTTCGAAAGGAAATAATGAATTAGATTAAAATTGAAATAAAAGATCCTTTAGCAGCTGTTTAATTAAGTTGACTGACGTGTAAACAATACATAAGTATTCCTTTTCAAGGAATGATCGGCATGGGACCGTAAAGTCAGCATTCTAAAATGTCTTGAAATAAGTTTGTCAATTGTAGACATTTCTTTTTTTTAATTGTCTTAATTGATATTTCTCTGATGAGTATGTACACATACATTTAATTTCACATTATTTCTCAACTGAGTGTGACGTGTAATGGATATAGTCTTTTAAATTTTTTTTTTTAACATACCAAATTTAAAATGTAAGAACAATAAGCGGACATTGATGTACGTTATACAGAGTAGTATAACTACATTATTTTGCCTTTGAAAAATTATTTTGTTACCGGAAAAATGTACAACTGTTGACTTTTTGGGAAGTGAGATGGGCTAGACCTTTGTAAAGAAAAAAATAACTCTGCAGATAAATTACTATCAAATTTCCTTTTTACAGAATTCTTAATAATAAATCTTTAGTATTCATGCATGTTTTCTGCTCAGTTCTACACCTATAACCAATTTTGTAAACTTTTTTAATAAACTAAATCAACAGGGTAAGTTATTATGTTCAGTTATATCACTAGCTAAATTACGTCTAAGAAAATAGTTTAAACGTCCTTGCAAATAATTTGATGCATGAATGTTTCCTGCTCAACTCCACTGAAGCGAATTATGAGCCGTGTGCAAAATCAATGGAGGAAATGTGATTTCATGTTATGTTATGGCTATGTGATGTGCCAAGCACTTCTTTTTAAAAAAAAATCATCATAACGATAAAATTCAAAATACTTCTACTAAACTAAAGACAGAATACGCTTGACTTAAATATTTTTGGTGCTTTGCGAAACACCAATGGACGAATAAACTTCACCCTAGGGAAGTGTACTTCCGAATGAAATATAAATGCATATCAAGAAGAATGTACTAAGTTTATTCACTATATATGTTAGTGAATAAACATTTGCATCTCAAGGTAAATGCATCAAAATAATGCTCCTTAGTACTTTACATTTATATTTACATTCAGTGTAATTTTCTTTATGAAATTCATTAGAAATCCACGACGTCCAAATCTCTATAACACACGTGAAATTAACCTTGTCACTGCGCGGTAGAATACACAGTAGGAACTATATGCATTTTCAATACTCTAGGAACACCAGAATGTATATTGTTTTGACTCAATTTCATAAAAAACAACAACCTTGTTAAATTAACGTAAAAAACAACAACTGTGCGTTTAAAATTAATTTGTCATTTTTTTCCTAGCAATGTTCATTTGCATTATTTAACTTTCCAACCTCACAAACGGCTCTTACGTCTATTAAGCACATCAGTTTTGAAAGGCGCTAAATTCATATTAAAGATAAACAAAATAAACAATTATGAATGGAGAAAAATTAGAGAATATAAATATAAGCATTGCATTCTTATTTTTGGATGTCGTCGGTCCTATAATACACCAGACCGTGCCGACAAATTATCATACCGCGCGAATGCGCGGTATTCAATTTGTCGGTACGGCCAGGTGTGTTATGGGACCGACGACATTCAAAAATAAGAATTCAATGCTTAAATGAACGATCTACATGAAGCTGTCAGGGCATAGAAAACAAAGTAGTGCAGGGCGTAATGTGTGCACACTTCGTTAAATCTGCCGGATGCCTCATATGGAATCAACTGTGATCGACCGAAGGCGAACACTGAAATACTGCGAGCTGTTTTCAACATAGTTCATCACTCAAAATATATAAAAAAAAAATATCTATCTAAATTGATATTGGAGGGTTGTAAGGAAAATTTGCATACAAATTCTATGGTGAGCACGCTTTTTGCATCAATTCAGTAAAAGTGCGGATAAAAAGAATACATGTATAATGTATTTTTAGATAAATACACAACGATTAAATGTTTTTCGATGGCTTCGGGTTTTATGGAATTTGATCTCGTGACCAACCCGTATTTATATCCCGATAGATGTTTAAAAATGATACCTTATATAAAAATATATCGTAACGGATATAATATCCTACCTGATTGTTCTCATAAAATAGAAGCGTAGTCGGAAAACAGCTCTTCGGAGCCAATTCTTTGGTTTCCAAATCCAACTTAAAATGAATAATATTATCTTTTCTACACTTTAGCTTATCAAGTATGATTTACCGCAATCATTCATTTAAACATTGTAAAAGTTTCTCACTTTCCGAAAATTACACATTCTAGTTCATATCTTTTCTAGAGAAAAAAGAATTTGGAGGATTATAAAAACAATTAGTGGTAGACCTAGACGATAATACCCATGGTTTAAAAAATAATTAACATTAGCGGACCATACAGCTGAGATAAAAAAGAAAAATGCTTCAAGAAACAGTTTAATTCTTTTTTTTGGCACATTTCTGTTACATTATCAATTGCACTCTTAAAGTGCATCAACATTTTCAATGTTTCATCTATTGCTACAATATTTATTAAACCTCCATTGACGTAAGAATGCATTCGGAGTGTCAAGAGAAGAGAATTTACCTTTAGGAGAAAATATTTCCCTGGAAAATTTTACATTTCAGAAACAATATTGATTTGTTAATATCTAAGAATGCGCTGTGTGAAGATAATAGAGAACTGTATCTTTGAATAATGAAACAAAATTAAGATACTTTTTCTTAAAAAGAATTCGTAATTCTTTCTTTAATATGAATGCTTTGGCATACATGCTACGCCACTGTAGAATTACGACATTTGTCAAAGTACATATTAATAAATTTCCCGTTAATCACCTTTTGCGCGAAATTTTCTAGTAACCCTTGTATTTATGTCAGTCAGATATCAAATTTTTGTCCCCCTGCATTTCATTTCCGGAATTTGCATTGCATTTTGCGACAATTTTTATTTTCATTTCCGACATTTTTTATTTTCGTTTCTGACATTTTTTTTTTTTTTTTACATTTCCGGAATTTTTTAAAGGATTTTTTTTCAAGCAATTTAATGTTAACCAAGAAGGTGGAAATAAAATTTAAACAGAATATAAATATCACTTTTATTTCACACCACGTTTTCCAAATAAAGATATTACAATGCACTGTATATAAATGTAGCACTGAGTCTATTAAAAGTTTTGCAGGAGTTAACAAAGCATGCAATTTTTGATCAACAAATTTAACATCCTGGCAAGCCAGGGATCCTGAGTCAACACGTTGCCGTTGGACCCTGGCATATTTAATTCAATATTTGTGGGCTTGCTTCTCTCATTGAGAAGCACCAATCAAATTAAAGCTTTCATAAATAGTTAGATAAGGATTCAGTTGACACCTCAAATGCACGTGTTACAAGTTGTTTACCATGGAATGGCTTAATGTGATTGGTTGAGAAATAAGAAAAACGATCAAGATTTGTAATTTTTCCGAAAGATGTCGCTACAGTCAGCCCACAAATATTGAATGAAATATGCCAGGGGTCCAACGGCAACGTGTTGACTCAGGACCCCTGGCTTGCGAATGTCCACTGAACTATATGTATAGCTGACTGCACCAAATTTATATTGGATATCAATGTTTTATTCTTAAAAAAAAATTACAAGAAAAGTCTTGAGTTCTTTTTTTCACTGCCGGAAAAGTACTTAATGATAAATGTCGGAGATGAAAACTTGACAATGTCGGAAATGAGAACTATAAAATGTCGGAAATGAAAAGTTGAAAATTTTTAAAAATTCCGTAAGTGAAATGCAGCCTTTTTGCCCAAATATCTGCAGTATTTGAAACTCTTTTATTTATTAAGATATGGAGCAGAGAATGTCAAAAATACCAGTTGTATGCCGAACAAAGGATGACCTTATTCGCCAGGCATGGAATTCCAGTAAGTTTTGTTTTATAATTGAGTTTCGTATTTTGGAGTTGAAGTAAGTAAGCATTACTCAAATATAATATATCATTATTAATTACATTTGATTTTATATGTCAGCTTGGAGTTAAAATCATATATATATAGATTCCACGTTTTTATGCCCCCGTATCGAAGACTCGGGGGTATATAGTTTTTGCCCTGTCTGTCTGTTTGTCCGCAAAAACTTTAACATTGCCCATAACTTTTGATTGGTTGGAGCTATGACTTTCATATTTCACATGTTTATTCCTTGTGACAAGACCTTTCTTTAGGTACCACCGTATTTGACCTTTTGACCTTGACCTTGGAGTTTGATCTAGTTTTACAAAATTTTATCCAACTTTAACCTTGGCAATAGCTTTTGAACAGTTGGAGCTAGGGCTTTCATACCTCACATGTGTAATCCTTGTGACAAGACCTTCCTTTGGATACCAACAACTTTGACCCTTTGACCTTGACCTTGGAGTTTGACCTACTTTTGAAAAACTTTTAACATTGGCCATAACTTTTGAACAGTTGGTGCTAAGGCTTTCATACTTCACATATGTAATCCTTGTCACAAGACCTTCCTTTGGATACAAACAATTGTAATTCAGTGACCTTGACCTTGGAGTTTGACCTACTTTTGGAAAATTTAAACCTTGGTCATAACTTTTGAACGATTGGTGCTTCAGCTTTCATATTTCACCTGTATATTTCTTGTGAGAAGGCCTTTCCTTAGGCACCATTATTTTTACCATTTGATCTTGACCTTGATGTTTGATTTACTTTTGAAAAACCTTTTCCATGTCTATTCAATGGTTGCTAGGGCTCTCATATTTCACAGGTATATTCCTTGAGACAAGACCTTACTTTGGGTACCAACATATTTGATTTGTATTTGAGAAAGTTTAATCTTTGCTATAAGTTGCCATACGGGGGCATCAGTGTTTCACAAACACATCTTGTTTCTAATTTGATTTGTGGTTTGCCTTTTGAAAATTACTGCAAACGGTTCCAAACTTTAAAAGAAAATAAGGAGCTTAAGGAGCAAAGAGCTAGGTACACCTTATGTATAAAATGGCCCTGTCCTTATATCAATTAATTGACTATCACCCTCTGTCCCATTTCATACATCAAAATAAAGTAGAGACTTGGTGCTTTCATTTCCTATAACCAAATTTCTTTTTGAGAATCCAGGTATTGGAAAACAGGCTTTGAGAAAATGCAATGTTCGGGAATTTTGCATAAAACATGCATATTTGACAACCTTCAGAAAAGAATTAAAATATGAGCACAGCCCACGATCCAAAAATTAAAATATGCTTTGTGATCTTCAAATACAGATCTTTCATTATATAATTGCATATGTTGGATCAGAGATTGTGCTCTATATGAAATATTGAAAAAATACCCCAATTTTTGACCATTTTTAAGGGAATTTTACAGGATATGGGGAAAATAACGCATTTTATGACGTCATAATGCATTGACTAGAGAGAAAGTTACGTCATGTTCAATAGATAAACGGTCACCAAGGGTCCAAGTTATAAATACTACATTTTCAACCAAAACTTAGCAGTTTCGATTTTTCAGAAATTCTCAGGGCCAAAAAAGGCCCTAAGTGGCTCTTGCTCTTTACTATAGTTTATTATCCACGATAACCATATCTTCTATAATTGATTAAAATACAAACGTTTTTTACTAGGCTGATTTTTTCTCTGACAAAAATCAGTCCACAACATTCGGTATGACATTTTAAAATCAAATAATCTCCCTCTGTTTAGAACATGACAAAAATATGTCTATCAGTCAGTAAAGCGCTAACAAAATAATAACAACTGAAAAAAAGTTCAAAATAGGAAGATTTCAGGCCTATTGAAACAGAGCGAAGAAAGGATGAGACAACATTAAGACTTAGCTGTCTTAATCTTTCTATCGATTTTGCATACCGAGTCTTTCTGTGCAAGATCTTCGAAGGAACAAACAACAGATATTCATTTCATAACCCAAACAGTTTTTTTCATGTTTTAGTTACGTTAAGGCAGATTATTTAGAATGATAAAATCTAACATAAATTCAAGACTTGACATGAGTATAGACACTTACAACACACTTTATATTGTTAACTCTTACATAGTTTTACCATTTGTTTCAGTAAAATCAAATTCCGTGAATGACATCATAGTACTTGAGACGGAAGTACAAATTCATGGTACGTTTGGATACAGAGATGACTCTAGAAAGATTAAGGAATTCAGAGAATACACGCCTCTCGTTATTGCCTGCATGTACGTTACATTTAAACAAAGAAATTCAATGTAATCTGAATCCATTTTGTTCTCAACTGAGAAAAGTTATAACTGATTTTGTTTAATTTGTTAGTTTGTCTCATTTTCTCAGCATAGATGTACGTCTCCAATTTTGAAACGATTATTTGAAGAAATATTTATGTCAATATGTTCATACGCGTGAATTGAGTTTTGTCGCCGGCATGTCGCAGTGTTTAGAGCGTTTGCTCTATGTTCGCGGAGTAAGGATCATTGAGTTGTTCCGTGGGTTCGAATCCCACTGCGGGACTTGAAGCTAGACTGGACCTTCGGATAAGACCGTATAAACCGAGGCCCGTGTCGTAGTAGGTTCTTGCTGGAAAAAAACCTTTATTGCTCAAAGGCCCTTAGTGCCGAGTATGTCGTAGTTATTTTAGGTTCTAGCAGGAAAACAACCTTTATTGCTCAAAGGCCCTTAGTGTAGTATAGCCCTCCACCGGAAAATGATGGCGAACCAATATAAGTGAAACATTCTCGAAGGGACATTAAACGAACATACATAATTTGATAAAGTTCTGTTCCGTTTCAGGAATGGTGAATTGGAGTTAGCTCAAAGGCTCATTGAAGCAGGGGCGGATATTAATTTACGCTCACGTGAATTGAAACGTGAAGAAGCAGAGCCGCCCTTGTATTATGCACTAGCAGCGAGAGATGCAGACATAGTAAAGTTATTATTAGATTCAGGTATGACTAGTAGAGAATGCAAAAATTGAAAGAGTAAATAAACATACATTTCAGATCATATATAATTATATCTTTTGTTAAAATATATATGACCAACATCAGGCATCAGGTACTGTGTTCTTTGATTCTCTGGCTTATGAATGAAGGTGAGTAGTTTTTTGAGGTCTCTGAGGGAACTGAAAATTCTGTTGTTTCGCTCTTTACTATAGATTAATTCAATGGACAAAACATCCAAACAGAAAAAAAATTAGTCTTATTTCTGTCTGTGTACAGAAATAAAAAAAACAACAACAACAACCCCCCCCCCCCCTCCATGTTTCGTTTGAAATATCTCAAAATTTATTATCATGGATGTTCCTCTCATAGAATTTAATTCTTTTTAAGGATATCCGATCCTCAGCTAGGAAGGATAACTCTTTATTATTTTATTTAAAAAGTCTCAAAATAAAGCTTGAAATTGAGATCATTTCGTGCAACAATTTTCATTTTGTGCATCGTAATATGATTTAAGGTTCTTTGAAGTCTTAGAAACAGTCTTGTTGTACCCTATAAAACAAAAAAAAAATTGTATTCATTTTCAGAGAAATCGAATTTCCTGGAGTTTAGGATTAGATACCACAACTTATTAGCATGATATGAAATTAGATGTGATATGTGATTATGTGTGATGCCTGGGAATGATAGCGCAAACTTTTTACCATATGTATTATATGACAATTGAAGTAAAAAGAAGAACTAAAATACTGTATAAGCATAAAAAAGATGCAATTTTCTCCAAATGCCTAGATACCTATATCTTTCTCTCCTAAATTATATTTTTTGATCAATTTTCAAATAGGAAATGCAAAGCTGTTGTTTTTATTCGCATTTCCTGAAAATATATTTGAGATTTAATAATTTTCCCTATATAATATGATTAACTATAATGATGAACTTTGAAGAAATATCATGGGAATATTCATGTTACTATGTGAAATCAGAGACATTTTTGTGAGCATTTTCAATTACTTAAAAGCTGATTTTTAGAACCTGAGAATCGGAGTACCTTAAGGTAGTCCGATCCTCGGGTTCTGAAAATCAGGCATTGACTAACTGAAAATACTCACAAAAATGTCTCTGGATTCTCAAAGTAAAGTGAATTTAACCACGGTAATTGTTCAAACTTCATCATTAAAATTAATCAATAATTATATAGAAAAAAAATAGTAAATCTCAAATAACTTTTCAAGAAATGCGAATAAAAACACCTACCATGCATTTTCTAATTAAAAATTTATTATCAAAAACATATTAGGATAAAAAAAAACTATAGGTATCCAGGCATTTAAAGAAAATTGCAAGATTTTTATACTTATACAGTACTTTACTTTCTTCTGTGTACTTCACAGTCACGATATCTCAGTCGGTAGAGCGCTCGCTCCGTGATCGGAAGGTCGTGAGTTCGAATCTCGGCCTAAGTCTATAAAAAATAGGTAGCAACTGTTCCTTTGCCATGCGCTCGGCACTTTGAAGTGAAAGTTGCAGGTCCTTCGGATGAAACCTTAAAAACAAGGACCCCATGTCACTGTAGGCGTTGGCACGATAAAGACCTCTCACTGCTCCATGGCCCCCAGTGCCGAATAAAGATAAAAATTTGAAGCCCTTCACCGGTATATGGTGACGTCTCTGTATGAGTGAAAAATTTTCGAATATACAATCAATCAATCTGTGTACTTCAATTATTTTATAATGCACAGCTTATAAAGTGTTCCTATCATCGCAAACACCATAAATCATTTCTAATTTTTTATCATGCTAATTAGCATTGGTGTCTAAGGCTAAATTAAAGGAAAAGTCGATTTCTTTAAATCTATATTTTTAACATACCCTTTTAGGGTAAAATATCAATGTTTAAAAAAACTGTATGGATATTTATGGCTAGAAAATTAGGTCCTAATATGGGTCGGATACCTTAAAAAATCAACCATAAGTAAAACATTCACTTTGAGATGCATTTATTTGTAAAAGAGAAATTAGAACATGTATAACCTCTTAAATACAGTCTCTATACTCTCACAATACTACTACAAACCCTGAAATAATCCTTAAAGCAGTGACATGCTCAACTTTTGTATATGATTTAGGTTCATCAGCCTTTTCTTCAGTTATAAAATTTTGCTTCAAATAAAACATGATGATTGTACAAAGGAAATCTATGTAATAATGGAAATGCAAATAATTTCAACACGCCTTAAGGTGCAAATTATCTTTTTTAAGCTTGACAAAATTAAATGACTTATTATTTAATATATATTAATTCCAAAGTTATCTCTTTTATCAAATGATAGATAAATCTTAACAAGTTAAATTATTGATAGGTGTTGACGTTAACGGATATATAGGCCACAGACAGTTCATCGATCTCCAAAAGCCAGCGAACGAGAGCTACAGCATTTTTCCACCAATGAATAATTCTTCTCCATTTTCTTCATTTTTTGAGAAATCGCCTTGTATGAGAAAAATCCTAGAACTTTATTTATCAGCAGGAGTGAAATTAAATACAACATTTTGGGGTCCATGTCTGTTTTACGGGTAAGAACAATTACGAAAGTGGAATAAGATTATATTTCTTAAATATGTTATATAGAAAAGAGAGAAATGTTGTCAACATGGTTATTTTTAAATTACAATGCTAACAAATAATTAATAAAAAGTTGAATTTGAAAAAAGTCGTAGAAAAAATTACACTCAAGTGTAATTGAATAGGAAAGATTAGATCTATTTAATTTCAAACGTCTAACATATAAGGTAAATTAATTTTTTTAGGTCACCTTAGTCACTCAGGTGATCTAATGCTATCTGTTTTTGTCCGTCGTCGTGCGGGTCTGCGTAAACCTTTCAAATTTTCAACTTCTTCTCAAGAACCACCGGACCAATTCCAATCAAATTTGCCACAAAGTATCTTTGAGTGCATGAAGGGGATTCAAGTTTGTTCAAATGAAGGGCAGTGTTCCCTTCCAAGGGGAGATAGTGCTTGCAATATGCGTTTGGTTTCAGGATGGGGTATTTTGTGTGTAATATGTTTTTTAGGTGTGTCTGCATACGCTCATTAAAATAAAAATAAAAAATCGCTAAAATGAGCACTTTTTAAAAATTCATATTATTGTATATAAAAAGAGTGAAGGGATGACAGTTGCCATCTTTCAGGGGATGCCTCGGTTCACGTTTGATTTTAATCTACGTAGATCTAAACTTTTCCCACCGGTGTCGGGTGAGATCTAGATTCAAAAATGATTGAATAAAGCCAAACAATCGCCTCTGCCGAATTGAACTTGCCGTAGTAAACCAAAACCTCTTCAATACCTAGCACTGAAACTGAAAGCAACGGAAGGGACGATTTCTAACTTAATCTGTAAAATGTAGAGGCATCCCGGAATTACACGGAAAGTCTAGAGAGACAAGAAGCCGCGCCAAAATTGTTCTCTCATTATTTTCAATTACTCAGTCAACTAAAAAGTAAGTGTTCGGAAAGTTCGTGGACTACTGTCATAACTCTTTTACTTAAGTTCATATTATATCCAAATTTTGAAGGAATATTTCAACACTAAATTAAAATGATGTTTATTAACATTTTTAATAATATCATCATTTATTTCAAACTTATTTAGACTTTAAAATGAGAAAATCGGACCACGGAGCAGGTCAATATTTTGTAATGTACAACCAAGACACTAAATAATGTCTGAAGTCATATCTTCTGTAAAATGACACAAAAACGGAAAAATTCTACACGTTCAAATTAAGAATTATTTCATCGTATCTGATTCAAAATTATGACTTAATATTTTGCTTCGTTGAAAAGAAATCAGTTTTAGAAGATAGGTAGTCCTCATTGAAAAAGGCAAAAAAGATGATGTCGTAGAACGTCACGGAGGAGCAGTTAACCATATAATTTTGTGTTGTACTCTGGAAAACTCCAGGAAAAAACTTCGAAAATGTCGGAGGAAGTAGGAAATATGTCAAAAGCGAGCCACGCATGTATGTGTACGTGGTCTAAGCGGTATTTGAATGATAGACTACTCTGCTTAGACTATGATGATGTGTGAGAAAACGGATTATCTGTAAAAAAAAAATATCAAAAACATTGAAAAGTTAGTAAGGTCATGCTAAGAGTTTGGCGCTTCACAGATGCTGATCTTGTGAAAGCACCCTTATGCAGTGAAAAAAATATGACATTGAAAAACAAAATGATGCTACTGGAACAATTGTTAGCAAAATAGATTTGAAGTGACAGAGAAACGTTTTTAATGAGTGCACTGGTATTGGGCAATACTGTGTGAAATGTATAGGGATAGTTTTTTTGAGAACCTCATGTCGGTATGTTTTTGACGTTACAGTGTTATGAGTTTGCGCTGTGGTTACAAAACGTGTTGATTTTAAAATTTAATAACATATTAAATTCTTTTAAATCACATAGAATAAAATTTCACACTTAAACAAAATAAATATTTTTACATATGATAATGTGCTCATTTTAAATTTCTTGAAGACAGTATAACGAAGATTGACATTGTCTAAGAACTTTCCGAACAACCCTCGTATATGTGTCATTGCAGACACAAAAATTAATTTACGCTTGCATTTAGAATGTTTAATAAGAACGGGAAAAAAACTTAAAAAAGTGTTTTACTACTTCAGACTCAATCTGCAGATTTCTTTTCGTAAAACAGCACCTTTAAGTACAGGTCCACGTAAGAATCAGGCAAAATCAAATTTCCGTGATATGTAAGTCAGTGTTTGAGAATTGACTTGAAACTTCACATGGTTATATCAGGACATATATATTACATATGTTCAATGATTTGGAAATAATTTAATTTTGTTTGTATTCTAGCCTCTGATTGGTTAATATCCAAAAAGGAACACAAATTATTTCTGTATAACCTGGTTTGGTATGGGGGACACACCCCCTTGACAACCAGCTGAATCATCTGTTTCCATACAGTCCTCTCATTTCCAGTCCTCGGGATTCATGGAAAATTCCAGATTTAATAAATGTACCTTTAATTTCAAACGATAATTCGATCTTACCACATGTAACCAAACAACATGGCTGCTAGGCCTATGTATCAGTTTTTACCTCCCCTCGATTCCCATCACTTCCGTTACTTCCGTTACTACGGTTGTATTATTGAGCGGCAAATTTGAACTAATAAAAAGTAACGAAATTATTTTACACCCATAGTTATTTAATTATTTTAAAATTAAATTATAAGGAATGACTCTAATTCTTGGCCAAATTATTCGAGTATAACCTGGTTTGGGTCAGTTTACGCTGTTTTATAATCCGCTTCGCGGATTATAAAGCGTAAACTGACCCAAACCAGGTTATACTCGAATAATTTGGCCAAGAATTAGAGTCATTCCTAAAATATTCAGGCTTGTTCTAATTTAATAGGCAATATATTGAGAAAATATTACGAACATGAGTAGTACAAATCTATACAATGGTATGGATATTGAAACCTTAAAAAATTAAAACAGCAAACGTTAGGAGAGAAAGTGATAATGAACAACGAAACAGCTATTTAAAAATTATAATTTTAAATCTTAAAAAGTTTGGAAAATTGCGAGTCTAGCGTTTACTACCCCGATAATTACTTCCAATATTAGTGAATTTCAGTTATCGTTCTTGAATTATGACTTAATTTGTCGCTTGAGGGCGCTCCGTTGTTAAGTACGCTGATGCCGAAAAAACAGAATCAAATTGATTAAACATCGAATTTGGCATTTTATTTTGGTTTAATTAATCACCTGAAAATTAAGGAATGTCTAACTTCAAACTAAACATCTTTTCCCTTGAAATCTAGCGATACAGTGGGTGTCAAATTTGATCGGGTTCAGGTTGCTCGAAACTATTCGGATTTGGGCAGGATTATTATAGTTTTACAATTTGACTGCGTTATCAAAGATGCACAAGAGTTTATAACACACTTCAAAGAAAATTGATCTTCGCGTTACACAACGCACTTTAAACAATCGTTGCCAAACAGCAGTTTTATTGAAGCTCTCAATCATAAAGTCATGTTGGCGAGGAAATGCGGACTTATTCGAGTCATGCAACACTCGATTTGAGAACAACAACATAGCCTATGTAACACTTGATTGTGGTTATTTCAAGACACAATCATATATCTAACATTTATGGATTTATTTCCCGAAATCCTGCTGAAATATGGAAATTATCTTCTCACAAAAAAGGAGTTCATGTGATGCAACGTGCAAGTAAGTAGTTTTTTTAAGCTAACAGTGAGGAAAATCCTTTTGATGTCAACCAAAAATAATAAGCAAGCTTTTTTCCATTAAGCTTTAAGTGCCTTAATTTTTGGTCTTTTTCAAAATCATTTCAAAGTTGGGTGCAATTTTTTTTTTCTTCTTGGAAATCCTTCCTATGAATTAGGAGAACCCCATTTTATAAAATGGGTATAGATATTTATTTTACTTTAAACTACCAATTAAAAAAATGTCTTGCTAAATACTTTAAAAATGTTTTTTTTTTTTTTGAGATAAGTTGTTGTGGAAAGAAATAAAAGACGTCTTGATCGTATAGTGGTTTATTTGAGACTTGTTATTATCTATAGAAACAAACGAAAGTATTATGACGTCACAACAAAGTTTACGTTACATGAATTCGCGGATAATCCATGACACTCCGGGCACCAAAATGAATAGTAAAATTTTAAAAAGCTCATATTAAATTGACAGTTCCATTGAAATAAAAAGCAAGTTCATAATCACTAAATTAAGAGGTCCATTCAAGGATTCTTTCTTTGGCTTTTGGTTTTGATACTCGGTCCTCTTCTGTTCAGACACGTTACATTTCAGGTTTTGTATCAGAGTCTCAGTTTTCGAGTGTTTGTGACGTAGTTCTGTGTTAGCTCTCTCCAGCTCCATGTTCCGAGTCTGTAGGTTGTTGTTTTGCTTTTTTATCTCTGCCATGTCCCTGAGATTCTTTTTCTGTGACTTATCTTTTTCCTTCTCCTCGGTCTCTTTAAGTTTTTCTATCAGTTGAGTTTTCTCCCTTAGTTCCTCATCACGAGTCTTTACGGCGAACCTATAATCTCTCTCCCTGCTATCTACGGAGTCCTGTAAAGTTTGCAGCTGATTTTCCAATCTCTGTACATCTATCTTCAGATCGCTTATTTCCTTTTGAGCGTAATCATATCGTGACTGAAGACTGCTGGTTTTAGTCTTGACGTGCTCCGAGTCAGAGCTGGCGTTTTTGAGTATGTCAACTTGGCCCCTTAATTCCTGAATCTCCTTATGCAGACGTCCGTTTTCGTACGCCAGTTTATTTTTCTGTTCCATCATTTCCTTCATCACATTCTCTACACGAGTCTGAAAATCCTTTTGTTGGTCGAATTGTGACACTCTCTCTAACAGGGTGGCATTCTCATGCTCCAACGCGTTCCTCCTTTGTGTCTGTGTTTTCAGCTCTGATTTTAATTTTTGTATCTCGTTAGTCAACTTGTTACGTTCTTCTTGCATGGAGTCCACGGTCCGACTTATCGGAGAGATAGGCCTAGCTGTAT